GAATTATAAAAGCTTCTCTAAGACTTAAAAAAAAGCTTGACATCAGTATTCCGTGTTGGTGTTGATGTTCTTAAGAGACAACAAGCAAAAGAACACTGAATATAATTTGCAGTGCCAGTGACATGTGCTTTGAAGTAACTGTTCTCGGGCGTTTTCTCTGGCTGCTATATTGAAATAATGTGTTAGTATTTCCACTGGATTTTTGACTCATAAAATATCTTCACCTTACTTGAGTATTTTGTTTCTTGGTAATTGTGGTGGGATAGTTTTTCAGTTACTTCAGTCCTTCAGGTGGTGTATTCTGAGAGTCCTGATCTGTACTGCTATTTTAAGCAAATACAAAAGTGAGTAAATAGCTAAAACTGAGGAGGATCTTGCCTTCTCTCTCTTAACTTTTGTCCTTTCAGTAAGGTGAGCTTATGCTCTGAAACACTTTTCCCAGCATCTTTTAAACTGCATCTTCTTTTACAGGAATTGTGGGCAGCCTCAATCCAGAAAACAAAGTCGATCTTAATAATCCAGAATACACAGTTGTGGTAGAAATAATAAAAACCGTCTGCTGCTTGAGTGTGGTGAGAGACTATGTTCTGTTCAGAAAATATAATCTACAGGAGGTGGTGAAGAGCAACAAAGAAGACACCCAACAAAACCCATCAAGTCTGACAGAAGAACAGAACTCAAAGGTAGTAAAACCAGAAACTGAGGAGGAGAAGAGCTCAAAAGAAGTAAAACAAGAGAACAAGAATCAAGGTGAAATAGAAGCTGAGCCCAAGGGGAATGATGCACTTACAGTGTAAAAAATGGGATAGAAGGGAAAAGTAAACATAATCCAAACATATAAAAAAAAGTTCTGAAAGGGTGTTTTAATGAGGAAAGTGGGTTTTGTTTTGAAGTCCTCATTTTAAAATCCACATGTGTAAGAATCTTTAAGCTGATTGCAGGTGGAACTGATACTACAGCAGATGTAAGAGTGCTCAAGAGGGCATCACCTTTCTGGTGAAGCTGGCTGTCCTTTGTTCTGCATTTCCTTTACCTGGCACAAAAAGCAGGAGTGTGTGCATGTATATGTAGATGTGGCCATCCTGACGTGGATGGACTCTCCATTGTTATATCTGATGGCTACAGTGACCAAAAGGCAGCACAGAACCAGCTCTCTGAGGAATTACTGACAGAAGTGAGAGATCTGGAAAAGACAGTTGATTGCAGAGGGTGTGTAACTGCAGAACTCAGTAACATTTTTCTGTGTGAACAACAGAATTAGGTAAACCTGATAATTTCTTGTATGATGGAGGTTTTTATACATACATATATATATATATTCACAGCTCTACAAGGATATGCTGTCTTGAAATGAATGGAAAGAACTGCTATGATCAAAATACTTGAATATTATGGGACGATTTAGAGTAATGGACTGTTCTAGAACAGTAGAATGTACAGTGCAGGCATTGCAGATGGTTTTATCAAAAACGACGTGTGTTTACATTAGCTGTGTATGCAGCAGTTACTGGTTTATAGAAAATGCTGTAGTCACTGAACAGAATCCTTTTGAGTAATTTGCTGCAAATAACCTTTTGCTGCTCTTTCCAAAGAATTAATCCTTGGGGGATTTTATAAAGTTTTGTTTTTATTATTTTCTTAGGTCTAAAAATTTGAATTTAAATACTGCTTGGAAACTTCTTACAAAAGAAGTTCTCCATTTTACTATACTACATAAGGGCAATTAAATTTTCATTTTTGGTACGGTTTTGGCTTTACAGTAATAGTTTTGTTTCAGATTGAAAGTAATGTTAGTGAGTCTTTCTGATGTCTGTTACAGCAGCTGTTTGAATATCCCAGTAACTTGTAAAAATCAAGGAAAACCAGTGCAGCTATAACTTGCTTTCCAGTAGGGTTTTGAATATGCTTCCTGTACAACTGTCTAGCTTTAGTATTTCATTTCTAGCATAAAATCCTGTATGTTGCTAATGGGAAAAGACTCATCTTGAAGAACACCACTCGTTACTTGTTTTGGTTTAATGAAAAGGATGTGTTCAAGTCTCTCATAATTTATATTTTCCTCTTCTCTCAAAATTGTTTTAGAATTTGGAAAATGAAGATGAGGTTTTTTCCCTAGTCCTGTCTCCCTTAGCACCCATTTATTAAAACTCTGCTTTCTTACCTCCATTGGTGTTTTCTTTAAATTTTAAAGCTTTTTGTGTGTGGATTAAACCAGCAATGTGTAGGTCACACAAAGGAAAGAACCATCTGAGACCAGATAGGAAGGCCAACTGTGAGTGTTTATTGGTGGCTGATGTTGGTGACCAATTCATGACAGCCTATTTATCTTCTACAGAAAAAGACTCAGGGGTAGTTTAGTGGGGTATTTTTTGTTTTCTTTCCTTCTTTCTCTCACTGACCTCTGTGCCTACACAACTTACAATTTACTTCTGATTTTTCATAGTTTGCACTTAGTGGACATCCAGTGTTAACACATTAATTCCTAAATCTCGAGCCTTTCAAGATTCATACAAGCAGGCTGTACCAGCATGCAGTAGACAGTTGGGGCGCTGCACAGAGTGGTCACTGGCTATCTGCACAAGGTCTACCAAATTAAAGAAAAAAGAAAAAGAGAGTTAAACAATATTGTTTTGGAGAAAAAAGTTACTGCTAGCTGTTCTACTCCGTACTAGGGCACAAACTGTGAAACGTGATTATAATCTCACTTACATGAAAAGCAAAATAATTGCTGTCACTGTCAGTGTTGAGGAAGGATGTTACAGTGCCCAGACACCAGCTGAAGAGGTGATACACTGACTGTGCAATCACTGGTGTACCTGATTTGTCCTAATGCTGACTTGCAGCACAAGCACTATCACTTGGTATGAAACCTTGACCCTGAAGGTGTACTCTTACCCTTGTGCTAGATTAAAACTCAGATTGGCTTGAGAAGCTTGAAAATAATTTCCGTTAAGAACAAGCCATTCTCACAGCTTCAGTGTTTTCCAGTACTGACTTGTCTGTCTTAAGGGTCACAGCTGTGTAATTAAAATATTAATTTACATGTAAGTCAGCTCATTTTTCATTTCAGTAGTGAAATACAGTAGGGGAGAGGTCTAAGTAACACCAATAACTCCTACTGATTATAAGCTGCTGATAATATCCTGTGCCCAAAAGAATCATGCTGCAAAAATCCTTCCTGTATTATATTCCTATTCCAAGAACAATCACCCTGTGGTTATACCATCTTAAAACAGCTAATCCCATCAACCTAAGAGGCTTAGTTTTGTGGCCTGCCTGAAAAACAACGTGAAATATGAGTAACTGTTCATTGTGAGCGTGGTGTTCTTACATTTGAGATTCCTCTTGGATCAAACTGTGGCATGGCATGTACAAAAAACACGTGAGCCCTGGAACCACGGACCAAAAATGCTCCCAATAGCTGCCTTTACCCCAGCAGAGTCCAGCATGTTCCACATGATGTCTGAGGGAGTGAGATTCATGCAGTACCTGTTGAAGACAAAGCTGGCCAATGTAAGGAAGTCTGCAAGCAGAAATTAAAAATGTGAGGGTTTGTTGTTGTTTGTTGGTTTTATTTTTTCTTTAGAAAGGCATGGTAAATTTGATCTGAAGCTCAGGAGCTCAAATAAATGCCTTTTGCCTAACCTTTATACTGATGGCAAAGATAATCAGATGGTATCCCAACTTGTTATTTAATCTGAATAAATAGGCAAGTAGTTTCTAAAATGGAGTCATATACTGTATTGAACAAGATCTTTGTCTTCTGGACACAATTCAGCTGAGGAGACCAAAAGAAAGACACATACAAGATTATGGGAGCCTCATAATCTGTTGAGTGCCATTTCAGTAGCTGCTTTTCAGCAGTCACAGAATCACAGAATATTCTGAGTTGGAAGGGACCCACAAGGATCACTGAGTCCAACTGCTAAGCAGTGAGGCAGATGGATTCCTACAGACATAAGGTTCATTTTGCAGTGCCCTTTTAGGCCTTTCATTGTGAAAAGCTATTCACATTAGCCTCATTACCATCTTGATAACTTTCCCTGTCTTCTGTGTCTCTTTGGCATGTCACCTTCTTTCAGGCAGTTTCAAATTGTATAATTTTTTTGAAAAAAATATAATACTCTCAGCATGCAAGTACTCCCTACAGTGGGGTTTATTTTTTGTTTGAGGTCTATTTCTGCTCCTGAAGAAATAAATTCTCAACTATTCTCTGGTTTCAGTAGTGCAAGTTCCATTTAGATTAATGTAATCTACACAGACACAGAATTTTGTGCGTTTGTTTTCTCTCTGTTTTTGACCTCTGTGCTTCCTAGCTGGAAAGCAAAGGAATATCCATTTCAGAGCTTAAGGGTGTGAAAGAGGCGAGATCCACCTGCAGAACCCTCCTGGCACAGCTTCTCCTGGGACTTGTGTTTGTTAACCAGTTAATTGTTGTCCTGAAAGGTCATCAACAGCTTTACTACACAGCATATTTGCTGTTTTCCCAGCCTCTGGTACAACAGCAGATGTGTTTATGGGTAGTACACAGTGGGATTACAGCAGAACCAGGAAAATGGAAGATAAATAACCCTGTGCCTTTTTTTTTTGTTGTTTACTGGTGGTTTTGTGCTCCTGGTAAACACAGCCTCGGTCAGAGAGTTCAACTACTACTTATATCTTCTGAATCAAGTGCTGTAGCAGCACTGTGTGAAATGCAAGTGCTACAGAGAGGTACCAAGAAATGTGAGATGTGCCCTAACAGGGATGATCTAAACCCCTGCTGCACCCACAGCCACGTAACTGCTTGACTGTTATGGAAATATCTCACAGTCTGAACTGACTACTCAGTCCAGGAAATCCTTGATTGTATTTAATCTTGAAACCACACAACACAGAGCCAGAAGTCGGATCATCAACAATGGTTAAAAAACATTCTCACAAAATAATATACATAATTTTTTAATTTCCTGCAAAAAAATGTAACACTCTCAGCATGCAAGTGCTCCCAAGAGTGGGGTTTATTTTTCATTTGAGGTCTAATTCTTCTCCTAAAGAAATAAATTCTCAACTATTCTCTGGTTTCAGTAGTGCAATCCATTTAGATTAATGTAATCTACACAGACACAGAATTTTGTGCATTTGTTTTCTATCTGTTTTTGACCTCAGAAAGTAACGTGCTTTGTAGCTGGAAAGCAAAGGAATATCTATTTCAGAGTTTAAGGGTGGCTTTCAGTAATAGCACTGCAGTTGCAAAAATAAAGGCCAGTCTGATTTCCCCTCTTCTATCATTATTTTCAAAACCATTTCTCCCATGTACATTTAAAATTACAGAGAGTATATTGCTTTAGAAATATCCCAAAGCATCAGAACAAAAACTGGTATCTTCTACCTTTATTCAGAAGGTTGTCCAGCACCTCTTAAGACTGACAGGGAACACTAAGCTAAAAGACACAAAAGTCCAGGATGAGCATGTTCTGGTCAGGAGCTCAGCAGCAAAGCTTAAGCTCTTCCCCACTCTTTGTTTCTTCCTTTGAATGTTCCCAGAGATCATCTTTGGTAGTTGTTGAACAAGCCCCAGCTCATCTGTGAAGAGAAATAACAATACTTAGCAGTTTGACACCGTTTCATTCCAAGCTGGGTTCCATTTCTGTGGCAAGCCTGCAAATTTAAAAGCTATGGGCTCTTTTGAGGATTAAGTGAGCAGGCAGCGCATCAGTCCCAGTGCCCAGCAAAAAGAATGAGTTCTGTTTTAAAGAAACTCAGTAATTCCTCAAATCAGTAGTGCAGGACAAGCACACACCACTGAATTTGAGCCCAGCCTGGACTTCAAAGGGACCAACTAAGAGGCTTTATTTGGTTGCTTAAACCCTGGGCAGTGAGGCAGAGCCAGGACTCCTGCCCACACAGCAAACAGAAATGTTTTGATTCATCTGTTTGTTTCTTCCTTCTCTTCCTGGTCAGGTTCAGGTTTTGTGTCATTAGCAAAGTGCAGTAAAGTGCTGGCAGGTCTGATGGACCAACGTGCAGCCTGAGCAGTCTGTGACTGCAGCAGAGGGCAAACCTGAGCAAGCCTTTCCCTGCTGAAATGAGCCACTTGCACCACTAGACCAGGGGGCAATCCAGCCAGATCTGCTTAAAGCCCAACACAGACCAACACCAAACCTCAAGAATCTGTCCCAGGATTATATTTTTAAAATTGCTTTAAAATCAATTACTTCCCAAGATCATAATTAGATTATGTTTAAAATGTATTGCTTACAAAGAATAAATGGATTACATGAAAAATCTGATTACTTCACTTCAAAGTGGATTACTTTTCCAAAATGTACCCACATTTGAAATCTGAATGTGCTTAAAAAGAAACAGATTCTGGTATTGTGAACAGATTACATTTTTCAACATGTTTTTATGATTGCACTTAAAAATCTAATCCTATTTCTTCTTATCCTGCTCCAAAAATGGGATTACATTTAAAATATCCAACATGGTTTTCCTCTGTCTTGACTGAATCAAGAAGAAAAAAATTAATTCCTCACAACAAACATGCAATACAGGAAAAGGGAAGGGAAATTTAAAACCATACCTCACGGTTATTGGAACCCTGGGCAGAAAATGAGGGAAGCCAAAGACAGTGAAGTGTTTTCTGAAGACCTTTGGTGGGAGCTGGTGCATTGTTGCTTAGCCAAGGGGATCTTATCCTGCTATTCCTGATGAACTATTCATTTTAATTCCAAATGTGAATGCCCTCTTGATACTCTGCAAGTGGAGTCTGATTCCTGCCTCACTTGGAAAGGCTGTAGTTCTGTTTGCACCTCTGCACAGCCCACTGCCAGCAGCAATGAGATGTGAAACTCATGCTCGAAATTCCCCCAAACCTGCTGTACCCTTTCAGCCTGGTAATCTTTGACCAGTGCACGCTGTGACAACTCTGCTGAGGAACCTGACAGAATATTGATTGTTGCCAGCTGAGTCTTTCAAACATGCTGTTGTATTCAAACCCTCTGTTATTACGTCCAAGCATTATCTTTCGCTGTTCAAGCAGTCATTCAGAATGTCACTCAAAATTCAGTGCTTTATAACTGTATTGAATTGGTAAAATCTGGTTCTTTTGATTAAAATAATTAGGATAAATTTATGTTCGCAGACACAACTTGATTAGGTGAAGGAACATTTCATTTCCCTGTACATAATCCCAGTGGTATCTAATACAGGTTCATCTGTAGTTTCAAGGGAGGAAGACAACATCAGATCTTACCACAATAGGCATGTGATCAGCTGTGTTTACTTATGGAGTTAGCATGGGGCCAGATTGTCAATAATGCATCAAAATCTATTTGATAAAGAACACCTTTTCTGATGCAGGTATCACCTTTTCTACTGTCTCTTGAGAGTAACACCAAATAGAATCTGGGCTGTAAGAGAGATGGAGGAGTCTCAAAGGGAAAGGCTATTGAAACAGTCTATTGAAAAATTTATTTTTCAGTCAGAATAATACAATCCAGTCAAGTACTGACATTAGGAACTTTGCAAGCAAGCGTAAATATCACACCTCGGTGTTGTCTGTAGTTTTTTGATGCTCAGGCATCTAACAAAAAGCAATCAGAATGAGGGCAGTTATATTAGTGAAATCTATATAGTGCAAATGGAATGAGAGAAGTTTTGTTAAATTCCTAACAATGCTACACCCGTCCCCACTCTTTGTCTCGTAATTCATTCCTCTTGATCTTCCCAGTGACTGTCTTGGGCAGCTCTTGGACAAATTCCACCTAAATAAAATAAAGAGAGAAAACAATGTAGCGTGTTCTATGGAGTTGGTTTTCCAAGACCAGCTCTCAGCAAATGTGGAAAACTGTGAGGACTCCTGTCAGTAAGAGCTGCCTGCCTAAAGGGGCATGTCCAAGCCAAATCAAGGCAGCACATTGTGCCACTTGTGAAACCACTCCTTTGCCTCTCATTTATTACCTGTGAGGAGCAGTAGATAAAAGCTTATTCAGATTCAGTCATGTGCTCCCCTAAAGGCACCAGTGAGTGCTTAGTTGAAGGTTAAATACAAAATAGAGAATTATGGTTGTGGGTCTGACCTAAAACATGCAGCTCTAACTAAGCATGTACAAAGCCTAGAAATTTTCGAGATATTTAAACAAACACTTTACTCAAATGCACGAAAACCAATGTGAACTAATATTATTTAGGAAAGATCTTCTGCAGCCAGTGGTCCAGAAGAACCTTTACCTCTGTCTCTTTCAGGTGAATCATGAAAATCTAAATAGTAATTCTCCTGAGACTTACGAAAGGGTGTTCTGGCTTGAAGTTTCTCCTCAGAAGCATTTACCTTTCTGGGGTATTTATATGGAGCAGTGGTTTTCTTGACATGGTCCTGCAAGTCCCGAGCTAAGCTCTTCAGGTCACTGGATGAAAAGGCTGGGGACAGAACCACAAATGCTTTCACAACCTGTAAGATAAGATTAACAAAATATATACCAAAATATTAACAAAAATATACTGCTGTATATTATTCAGTAGAAATTTCTTTATATCATCCTATGTTTAGGCAAACACATTGCTCTCCTGCTCCACCACTCAGCATCATTACCTCTCCTCTGAGGGGATCTGGGCTGCTGACAACAGCTGTTTCTACCACAGCTGGGTGCTCTATCAGGGCATTCTCGACTTCAAACGGCCCAATGCGATACCTAGGAAGGAAAAATAAAATAGGATTTGGCTTTTTTTAGGTGGAAAACAAGTACCAAACGTTTTCTAATTGTCCTATTGAAGAAAAAACCCTCCAAACCAGAACAAATTAACGATCAACGATAGAAACTTTAGCCAAAATGGGGAAGCTGGTTGTGTTAGAAAGTAGGAGCGTTTCATAGTGGTCATGTGGTAGAGGAATTCTGGGGGTGTGGATTCCTCTCCATCTCTCCCCTTTCCTTGGGGCTCCTAATCTGGAACTCCATTCCATTGATAGCAACTGGTGCCACATTACGGTATCCCATCATATAATATCAAATTGTTTCATTTCATTATGTTAAAGTATTTCAGATGCTCTTTGAATCCAACAGAGATGTCCTTCACTTTTAGTCAAAAATGAATTAGATAAGAATTCCTCCTCAGCCAACTGAAGTCTTCATTCTTTGTTGAAACAGATGAGATTTGCAGGGGAAATGGATACAGAGATGCCACTGGTATCACCAGGATGATATTGCAGGTCTATGAACAGCTAATAATAAAAGCAAGTATTCCTAAATCAAGAGGTCAGTACATTCATCACAGGATTATTGTGTCAGAAGCTCACTGCAAACACAACATGTCAGACAACACAATGGCAGATTTAGAGATAAGTAGGCAGACTGACCCTGAAGAAATTATGATGTCATCATCTCTTCCAATAAAATGAAAATATCCATCTTCGTCCATAGTCCCTCTGTCTCCAGTGACATAAAAATCCCCATGTTCACTTTCTGCAGTTTTCTTGGGGTTATCCTTAAAGTGGTTTACAAACAGTTTAGATTTTGAGCATGCATTAGTTATCCATTATGCTATAATGCACATACTGTCAAATGCACTGGAACTTAATTTTTCAGTCAAGGATGTTTAAGAATTGTACTGATATTGCTATAAAATACAATAAATATGCTTAAAATAATTGTTATTCTTTTAAAAAAATTAATCTTGAGCAAATTCTTCTCTTCACTGTTTTAACATCCATCAAACCAAATAAACAAATTACTATGGTAATAAATAATAAACCGGTAAAAAATACTCAGCCTTTTGAACCATTACGCAACTGGAGAGATTTTGGAGGAGATTGGTGGTGATGAGGAATAAAGTAAAGTCCTTACTACATATTCAGAGAAAAACCCAAGTGGTCTTATAGGTTTGCTTCTGACAGCAATTTCCCCCTGTTGTCCTGGAGGCAGGATATTAGCATTTTTATCTATGATCTAGAATGAAAAACAACATGTATATTAGTTCAATGGGAAAACAAACCCTAAACCCAACCCCAAACAAACAAAAAGCCCCTATGACAGAATCTAAAGAGCACTCAACAAACCTGAACATCATAAAGGGGAGCTGCCTTCCCCATTGATCCAGGTTTAATCTTCATTCCTTTAAAAACAGAGCAGATTATTCCCTGTAAAAATCAAACCAAAGTTTTGCAATAGAAAACTGCTACACTCACACTCAATTCATTAAATATATTTTCTAGATTAATTACAAAGCAAGGAATTCAGATTCATAGGATCCTATATGCCAGTGGTGTATGGCAGGGATAAGAAAAATCACAAAGCTCCCTGGCAGAATCCTGTTCCATGGTTTGTGAAGAATTCATGCCCTGAGCTAACCAGTCTTCTCTTAGGTTCAGACTCTGCCCTCTTGACTGTCACTGTTACTTGGAATTTGCTTAAGGACATTTGTGGAGATATTAAGGCACATCTGCTCCCAACAACCCATGTTTCTGGCAGGTTCTGTGGGGAAAGCCATGACAGGACCTTCTTTCAGAGGTTGTCAGGGGAGGAGGTTTCAGGGAGCTGAAACATTCACAGGAACATGAAGGAAGAAACAGACGGTATTAATTCATAACAAACCGTAAAACATCGTAAAGCAATCAGGAATTGCAAAGATTTAATAGAATATGGACCCTACAGATGTACCATTTCAGTTTGACCATAAACTTCATGGATGTCCAGCCCAGTCTGGCTCTTCCACTGCTCCATGACTTCTGGGTTGAGTGGTTCCCCTCCACTCACGCAGTACTTCAGGTTCATGAATTTGTAGCTTCATGGGGAGTTAAAAACAAGAGAGGCAGTACTTAATCTAGGGGGCAAGACAAGGAGCACACAACTGTAAACAACATTGGAGAGCTGTTTACTGGGACAGTTAGTCCCATGAAGTGGGGAAATCAGAGGATCCCTGATCCTTCAGCTCCTGGTACAATGAGGACATCAGTCCGTGCTCAACACCATACATATGAGTAGCAGCATCGGAGTTAAGCACACAGGGAAAATAAAGTAAAGCTTTTGCTGAAGTCAGCCAGGATTATAACTAACCACAGACTGATTTGCTGAGCCAGGGCCCGGATTGCTGACCCTCTGCAACAGGTCAAGGGAGAAAGTACAAGAGGGGAGGAATGAACAGGAGTGAGAATTGCAGCAGGGGATGATGGACAACTGCCACAACCACTGACTCCCTCACAGTTATGCTGACACACACTTTCTGGGACAAATTCCTTCCCAAAGCATGGACAATTAATGTGGTAATTGAAAATTATGATTAAGAATTTAACAGACTCAGTTTCATACCCTCAGGGGTTTGCTCACAAGTTCAGCACTGGAAGCCTCAAATTTCTAAGGGAAAACATCGAGTTTCTCTATGTTTTATCATTAAAACTCATCAAAACTCAAATTTTGTATGATGGCCTTTTCATGAAGGATATTTTGAACTAAATTATTGCCCTATTTTGAGTCAAGCATCGAGATATGGGAGATCACTAAAGCTTAGTCAGGGTAAATTAAACATCAGTAAATAATATCTCGACACACCTGGAGAGATCATTTTGCACCAGCATGCGGAACAATGTTGGAGCACCAACCAGAGCATCAATTGGGAATCTGCAGAGGGTCTGGTGAGTTAAACAAGATGAACATGTGAAGCTCAGCCAAAAAACTGAATGCACAGTAAACAGGGGATATAGAAAGGACCACCACTTTTGCCCACTGTGTAAAAGCACCTCTCTGTTGGGTAAGGAACCCTCCTGCAGCTGGTGCAATATGCAGAGATTCACAGTATATATGGCTGGACAAAATCCCATGCTCATACATGACACCCCACCTCAACAGCCTGGGGCATGGTCAGAATAAACCCATCTCTGTCTACATCATAGGGAGGTTTTCACTTTCTTCTCATCCAGTGTGGGCAGAGAAATGCTTTAGTTTCAGTCTCTATTAATACCAGCTGATATCACTTCCACAGTCATTAGAATGAATGAATGGCATGCAGTAAGTGCTGCTTTTGGATGATTTTCATTGACGTGCTCACCAGCTTTGAGCAAAACGTGTGAATGAATCATAGGTTTGGCCCCTTCTGATATACGTGAAAAATGTAAATACGGGCTTTACACAACAGATGGAGCATCTCAAACACAACTATGGACACAACCCCCATGACATCTATGGAAGCTGTTACAAATTATTTTTTGTGCCCCTTGTGCAGGTTAACACATTTCCACGAGTTTTTTCCTTACATTTAAGATGACTGTTGAGTCAGTCTGTGGTAGGTTATGTATAAAGACGCATGACCCGAAAACCCAGGGATCATAAACAGATGCTACTGAAGTTAGTATCCATCCTGTGTCTGCTGTGTTCCATATCATGCCAGAAGGTGTTAAATCCAACCAGTACCTGATAGAGCAGAAAAAAAGAAAAAAAAAAAGGAATGAAAAGATAATGAAAAATATTTGCTTAAAAAGCCCAAACCCAAACCACAAACAAAGAAAACAAAGAAAGCCAAAGAAACCCAAGATTTCTGACGAGCACAGTGTGATATCCCTTGGTTCTTTGCACTATGATATTCCCAGCAGACAGCTGTCCTTTGAACCACTCTGGAAAGAGGGTAAGAGATATTAACTGAAAAACAGAAGCACTGGAGGTGATCCTACGCCCCTGGAAATTTGCTGGAGTTTGTACTCTGATTTCAAAGGGAGCAGGACTGGGGCTGTACATTATTCATTAATTTTTCACCAGTTCCACTAGGCAGCTTCAACTACCTTATGTTCAAATCAGGCTCAAGCCTTTCATACCTTTCACTTAAAAGGGGTCTGAAACCAAGACTACCCTGGGAATGTTGAGTCATCTTAGGAGAACCTGTGGTTCCACTGGTAAAGAAGATAATCATTGGGTCTTGAATCCTTGTTTTGACACAGGAATGGTCATCAGCTTGGTTTCTTTGAAAAAGAGAACATAACAATGATTTCAATGGTTACTTTACATAGGCTTCAGAATGTAATGAAGTATTCCAAATAAGCTTCACAGATTTTCACAAAATTATACTAAGATAATGTGATGTTGTACTTCCTCCAAGACAGACCTCCCCTTAAAAAGAAGAGGATAGAAGCATCCCAGAATGAGACCACTGCTAGCAAACCTCTCGATGTGGATTAGCAATCTACTCACTCATACTCACTTGTACAGCTCCGTGAAGTTCAGCCACCCTTCCCTCCTGCCCTGGGACACCATTAGCTTGGTTTTCAGAAAGTGACACTCAGGTGCCACCGAGTCCACTGCAGGAGCCAGTTTGTCAGTGGTAATTATGCACGTGGCCTTTGATGCCTGGAGTCGATATAGGATGTCTTTGGCCGATAACTGGGATACTCCTGGAATTAAGACAATTCCTGGAAGAGAGATAAAGTTAGTTTGGGTTTTTTTTTTTTTACGTCTGACTCTCTTCTGAGAACCTAAAGTATAAACTATTCCCAAACTGACCTCTGATATGGATTTGTCCTGGTGTTCCCCAGGCCAACAGTTATACTGAATAATGCAGATGCTTGTGCTCTCCTGTATGCAACAACATGTGCACCTGTCTGGTGACTTCCATGGCTCTTCCCTGTATTCTGGCATCTTCATGCCTGCTGCTCAGGCTACCTGTCCTATTGCATCTCATGCAAACCCTTCAGGACTGCCTGCATAATTGGTAGCTGGGCCACTCACTGGGTTATTACATTACTTCCCTTTATAAACCACATACATTCTCGATCCTTTCAACCTACTTGCAATAACCATCTTGCCAGTCTCGGACGTGCTCACCAACCTGCTCGCATACAAGCCACATTCACCAGCCACCACTCTGGGATTCGTGGGAGGATCACGATAAGTCTGTCCCCCTTCTGCAGCCCACATTCTTTAGTCAGCACATTGGCCACTTTCCGAGACAGGAACCCCAGCTCCTCAAAGCTCCACTTCACTTCTTCTCCTTTTCCGTTTATCCACCAAAACGCAGGGTTTGGTGGTCTCTTTCCAGCCTACAAAGCACAGGGATTCAAACACAAAACATTTTCTTCTGACAGACCATGAAATTATAATGCAAAAACACCTGCAAATTATGGAAGATCTGAGTATTCCAAAAGTGGCACATAAGCTGTTATTTTTCCCTTGTCCTTAATGGATTGAGACGTGCTATGCATCACGCTCAGGTATTCCCAATAGATTCTGCTTTTCCGAACCTGAAATGTTTACCAACTTAATTGCCTCCAGAGACAAATAATTTCAAACAAATTTCAAATTAGAGCATCTCATCGGCACAACAAAAGACCATCTACCTTTTCAATCTCAGCCCATTTGTCCAGTACATCACTTGCATAGTTAAAGTACTTTGGTAGTTCCTGTTTGCCCCGCCTGATGGGCTCATACTGGGAATGTACATCAGAAACAAGCAGCCTGGGGTGTCCATGGAAAGTCCTGTTAGGAGGCTTCAGAGTCCACAAGAATTTTAGACTCTGTAATTTAAACACCTTCATGGCAGAAAATGAGGTATGTAGGTGCTGTAGACTATGTAAGGAAATGAGCAGAGCTGTTGATATGAATCCTGCAACAAGAAAAAAACAACAAATAGAGAAAAATAATACTGAGATTATCCGAAGACAATCCAGTTATGAATTAGTTGAGTTACTCATTAAATTTCCTCAGGCTAGTTAACAGCCAGACTAATGATTTTAACACTCCAATTAAATGTGAAGTTCTCTATCCTGTTTTCTCAAATTTTTGATTTTTTAATTAACTGCCTACAGCTCTCCATACTCAAAACCAACATCAGATGTTATTGTTTGCATTAGAACAAGGTTCCTGCCTCTTACTCCAAAGCATTCATGAGCTAATTCTCTATTCCTTTTCTACAAGACTACTTCCATCAAGATTCTCACAGCTTTAGCTTCAACAGTTGCTGACTGATATATCCATCAACCACATCCATCCAAAGAGCCTTCATTTCAGTAATCCCTTATGAAGGCACCAAATTTGATATAGACATTTCTGCATTTGCTTCCTGTAAATGCTCTCTTCCATCTGTACTCACCATAATGATCCTAAAAGTTCTCAAGTCTAATTGCTTTCTTCCTTTCCACTGCCACTCTTTTCTTTCTCTTTTTATAATCTTATAATGCTGCTGCTGATTATTTATTTTCCACAGACCAGAGGATTATTCCAGATCTGTGCTCAACTCTAAAAATTCTAATGCTATTTAGAGGCTTCTCATAAGTGCACATAAAGGTTATCAAACAGGGGGAAAAGAAACTGGCTCCAGTGTGGAAAAGCTCCCACAGAGCAGGAGCCAGGGGAGTCCTGGAGGCTTCTCATGATTTTAGAACCTGAGTTCAACCATCTGATTTGCCTTTTTCAACCACTAAACTCAATACAAGATTTAGGGTGAGGGACTCCTGAAATACAGGGTAGTTTTCATTTCTGTTCTTACAAAGGATGAAACTATCCACAAACTACCAACAAAATGACAGGTAAACTCTTCATCAAATTCTTTGTCATGCAGAATTTCTGTGGAATGAGTGAATCTGCAAAGTTTTGCCTTTTGTCCCAGGTTTTTAAGTACATTTTGTAGTCCTTTACCCCATATGCAATTAGTATTGTTTTTCCCTTACTTAAGGAAACAAATGCTAGTAAAAATATCATGATTTTTGTGAAATGGAACCTTTCTTTGAGGTTGTGACCTCCAGCGTTAATGCTAAAAAACAAGGGATCCACTTTGAATCTTGAACAGAAAAGTCTAATCATTTTGGTTATTTTTAAAAACTTAAGAGGATATTTATAATTTCTTAGACTGCTCTAATTCTATGATTTAAATATAACCTACAGATCTCAGAGCATTACAATGACAAGATCTACACAATAGCCTGTCAAAGAAAGGGGAGGGACAGAACATTCAGGACAGTATTCAGGATCAGAAATGGTATTCAAGACTGACAAGATGAAAGACGTTTTAAATTCCAGGATTCCCCAGTGGTCTACCAAAACGTCTGCCAAATTTTGCTGTGAGACCCTTCAAGGTTTTAGCACTTCCTCACCTGCAAACCTGGAGGTGAAAATCAAACAAGAAAATTGAGTAAAAGACTCAGTAATAGCAAAGTCCTTTGAAGAACTACAAGAACCAGGAATTGTTATTCTTGGTTTAGTACCCTCTGCTTCTGCTCAATGATCATTAACATGAATAATTCAGACAAACATTTTCCTGACCTGTCTGCTGTGGACAGGAGAGATTGAGAGCTGGCTGGGGCAGATCCTCTTCGTTCAGTTTGCTTGGCTTTCACAACATATTTCCCAAAAGAGACACTGTAAAGATGAGCCTTTACCTGGAGACGTGAAACCCGGACCCTCTGGGAAAAAGGATTTGGAGTGAAACTCTTCCTACTTTATCGTTCGCTTCGTCTGAAGTAACGAGAACAGAATGGAAAGCAAAACAGACCAAGCAGCAAAACTCTCTCCATAAAGTAACCTTTTTCTTGTAATCATTTACACCATTGTTAATTGTGCATAATTTGCACCTTAACCCAAAGCACTTTGGATCTTCTTTTACCTCCTCTTTAACCATTTAGGTAGAGCAGAAATTCATCAATGTCTTTCTTTTTCCACTCAGAAAGAATTTGGAAATATTACAGTGGTATTTTTTGAACATAATGTATCAATGCTCTACTGATACCCACTACTGGACAAAGCAGGACAAAGATTATTTTTATTCTTTTCTCTTTTATTTATATGTATCAAAGTATTGTGGTTACACTTTTTAAATAAAAAAATTCCTTTGTAGGCTTCTGGGTGTGTCCTTTCTCCCATTCCATGCTCCTAATTATTTGCAACTTCTGAATTTGTTGGTTGATGGCAAAAGAGGTTCCAATACCACACATCCTCAAGCCATATGAGTGTTTTCTCCTTTTTCTTCCATAGCTTGTTTTTCTATATGTTCTCCTAGTGCTCTTGGTCATGACAACATGCCAAATTTGATGTGTTATGGCTGGTATCAGTGATGGAACTTTTCTCTCCTCGTTTTCCAGAGCACTCTCATCCTTGTCATTCTCTCCCCCACTCTCTGTTCCTTAGGACCTTCCTCTGGATTTTTCCACTAACTGTCTTTGGCAGATCCTGAACAAACTCCACCTGAAAGGGAAAAATACATTCAGGCTAATTTACCAGTTGAAGGAAAGATACATTTTATTAAGGGTGGGGGAAAAAGAGATGGGAAGCTGCACAGTGAGGACTGGGATGATGGGATTCTGACTGAATGTCTTGCCCATTTTCCCATTGCTGGGAAAACCCCAGTGTTCCATGAAAGGAAGACTGGACTCTGATGAAGTCAAGTCACTGACCATTGCCTCCCTTTGGGTCCTTTTGAGCACACACAGCGAACCCAAAGCTACAGCTGCAACACACCCTGTCATCTGCTCTGGTTTTATTTAGCTGTTGTTGGAGTGTTTGTCAGAATGCTGCTGAAAAGGAGCTGAGGGAGGACCAAAAATGCTCAGTTTCTAGTACAAGGAGAAGCCTTGTCTTTTGGGGCTGTACTTACCTTCCTTGGATACTTGTAAGGTGCAGTCACTTTCTTGACATGCTGCTGAAGCTCCTGAGTTAATTTTTCTGGATCATGTGATGCAAAAGCAGGAGCTAAAACTATGAAGGCTTTGACCACCTGTGTCACAAAAATGAAGGGATTCCATTAACTTTCCGAAGTGGGAATAGATACATTTCTTGTGAAAAGGGAGTGTCTAAATTCAGAATGCAAAAATTTGAGTTTTTCCTTTAATTTCCCTTTCATTGTCTCTTTGTGACAGAATGGTGTGCTATGAAGGCTCCATTCTGCAGCAGAGGATTTTAAATTTTTCCACTTTTTGTTTTTCCTTAATTTTATATATAATTCAAGCTGAAAATCTCATCCCAGTTGCTCAAACAAATGTTGCAATGTTGAAAAACATAAAATAAAAATAAACACTCTGAATATCATGGCTACCATGTGCTTAGTGACAAAAGAGGAATAATCCAAATTCCATTACTTAACTAAAAGGATGCCACAGTAAGTCTGAAAAGCCAAACTCTTTTTTCCCCACATAAACCCTGCAAACAAAGAAGTAATTCTGAAATTCCAAAATTGGCCAAGTTATGGATTTAAAAAATTGGTGTTAGCCCATTTCATTTGAAAAATCTGCAACATATTGAATTCCAAGGAAGCCTCGGATGTATAGGGAACTTGAGGCTTACAATAAAGAGCATTTCTTTCCACATATTTTTTCTTTTCCTCTTTACCTCTCCTCGAACTGGATCAGGGCTGCTGACCACAGCTGACTCTGCCACTGCTGGGTGTTCAATTAAAGCACTTTCCACTTCAAAGGGGCCAATCCGATACCTGGGAGAGAGTGAAGATCTGTCAGCTGCAGCAAGATGGGCCAGTCCATTGGTCTTTCCAGGTTGCATTTGAACAGGCAAACGATCACATCTAAAAGCACCTGACTTACCCAGCAGAATTAATGATATCATCATCTCTCCCAACAAACCAGACGTATCCCTCTTCATCCATAATCCCTCTGTCCCCAGTGACATAAAAATTTCCACGCACAGTGGCAGCTGTTTTCTCTGGATTATCCTGACAAGAGCCAAATATTATGGGGGTTCAGAAGCACATTAGACACAAAGATAAGTCTCCCAAAGCTTATTCAATATGACAGTTGAAATGCTGTGGACAACAGGTTTGCCTGATTCTACTCTTTTCTTAAGAAAATACTGCACCTCAGCACCACCACACAACCAATCAGGCTCAAAGTCCTCCAGTGGGACCCACTGGAGATCCTGGATGAAATCCTGCTCCTGGCATAAGTGAACAGAACTTTGCCCTGGGTCTCCCCTGAGTGTCTCAGCAGGCACAGACACAGCAGCTCAGGCTCACCAAGTACTCCGAGAACAGACAGAAGGGCCGTGTTGGCTGGATTCGGACAGCAATGCTGCCCTCTTCTCCTGCAGGCAAAACAGCCCCATGGTCATCTATGATCTGCACAAAGGACACATCATCATTCCTTTGGTTAGCTCCGAGGAATGAATCTCTGTCACAGCACAGTGCAGGACAGGGAAGTGCCGCAGACAGCATTCCTTCCTCACCCACCCCCAACTGCAACGCATCGACGTACCTGCACGTCGTAAGGGGGAACGGCTTTTCCCAAAGAGCCAGGTTTGATTTTCATTCCTTTCATGTTGGCACAGATTGTCACCTGCATAATAGATTTTTATCGTTTTTTAAATATTTGCATCATCTTGAACGTTTTATTATTGTTTGCATTAGGCAGGACATGACTTTGTTGTGACCAGGGTTGAATCAGGACCAAAGTACTGTGGTTCTTAAGAACATCAGCGAGGGGTTGAGAGGCATTTCAGGCCAGAGCTGTGGAATGAGGTTGGTTTTGCTCAGTCTGAGCGAGTGGGTTCTTCTGAAAACACTGGACTTTGCAAGACAGCAGATGTGGAATTATTACAGATCTTATTTCAATAATTTAGGACCATTTCAAGGGTAGGATGAGAGAATGCCTGACATCTGACTCTTAATAGCTTTGTTAGTGTTCACTTCCAGAGAAATCTGGGATGTGAGCTGGTTTAATATTTTTCATTAAAACCTGGGACAGGTCAAATTGATAGCCAGAGCAAATTATTTTTTTTTTAGTTTTGCCTTTGATGTAAAGATGATGACGGGATCTCCTACAACTTATTTGATCTGAGGTGTCTCTGGCATGGTGTTTGCAGGGATCTGAACCATTAAAATATGCAGCTAGCTGATTCTGACACTATATAATCATAATTATACAAAGCCCTTTTTAAAAAAACAATATGAAGGATTCTCACCTTTGCCATTGATCTATCAAGGACATTGTGACTCTGGTGTAGTTACCTTTGAAAGGCGTACTGCAAGAATTAATGGAAACGTACTGATTCGGTCTGGCCGTAACCTTCATGGATATCCACCCCTGTCTGGGTTTTCCACTTTGCCATCATTTCAGGATTGAGTGGTTCTCCTGCAGATATGCAGTGTTTCAGACTCATCATCTTGTACCTTCAGAGGAATAGCAAATGAAATATTTTTTTAACTCTTGAAGAGAGCAGTGTGAGGCCTTACCTGAACAGCCTCCCTTGACTTTCCAAGTACACCTAAAACTGAGGGTAAGGCTGAATAGGAACACAGATCCTGAGCTTTCTGTTTAACCTGTGTTGGCTTCTGTCAGGATGAAAGACCCTGAGAAGAGTAAGTAACTTGCTGAAGATGGGAAAACTCCTTACAAACCACTTCTCACAAGCTGAGTATTTTACACAGAAACAAACTGGTGAGAACAGCATGTGAAACTCCTCTTACTGCTCATTTCATTCTCAATCATATGAGAACAACTTCACTGTACTTCACTAATTCCCTGATCCAATGCTGCCTGAAACTTGACTTAAATTTAAATTATGAACAAAAAGTTCAGAGGAAGGGACAACTTAAAAAGATTTCACTTGTTCCCTCTGTGTTGTCTTTTCAAAGACCCAGCCCTGAAGCCTGAATGGCCTATGGTGTCATTAGTTATTCTCACATTTCTGAACACAGCTCTGTTTCCTTAAAGGACGTTTTGCTAATTAGATTTCCATTAACTGAAAAAAAAATTAAAAATAAGGAACCTGAAGAACTAAACAGCCAGAGCTGTCACAGCATTATATCCCAACCTCCCTCCTAGCCCTGCAGTACCTGCTCAGATCATGCTGGACCAGCATGCGGTAGGCAGTGGGAGCAGTGCAGAAGGTAGTGATGGGGTATCTTGAGAGAGTCTAAAAAAAGAGAAAGTTATTTTGTAGAAAGAAAATGTAATGGTGGGTCCCACTGCTTAGAACACACAGAACTTTCTGTCCAACAGAAGTCACATCTGTAAATGAAAGACCACTAAGAGTAGTAGTTCCAATTAAGATTGTTTTGTGTTTTCCAAGGCGTTCACATCCCAGGCTCAAGCCTAAGTGGTGAGAGGGAGGGAACTAGACCAAAGCTTTTCCAGTATTATTCTTGGGAAAGTCAGAGTCCCCTCCCAGCACAACAGGCCAGTGTTGAGGAGATTTGGTCAGCTTACTGATTGTGAGAAATGGCTGAGAGAATGAACAGGCATTTTGTCAACTATGGATTGATTGGGAAATGGATTACTTACCTCTGCAATAACTGCTGGCTTAAACTGTGGCATGTGGTGTACAAAGACACAAGATCCACAGATCCATGGTGCAAAAACACTGCCCCAAGCTGCTTTTGCCCAGCCAGTATCAGAGGTATTCCACATTATATCTGAAGGAGTCAAGTTCATCCAATGCCTGGTGATAAAGCAGAGGTGAAAAAAAATGCTAGATAGAGTGTGAGAGACTTGGGCACAGGACACTCCAGAATTCAAGAACAGAGCAGGAGGCTTCCACTGGAAGATGTGACATCAGGAGGCAGGGCTCTGCAGAAAGTCTGTAAGGGTCAAAGAGGGACACTCCTTATTTCTGCAGTCTAAGAGACAGAACACTGCACATCATGATCTCAACTGAGTCTTCAAGAGGGTTTAATATGGAAGGTTTCACTGTGAAAGGGAAGAGATGAGGAAGGGGCAAGATCCCACAGTCACTGATTGCCTACATTCACTGGAGTTTTACGGTCACATTTTCAATGTAATGGGGACCATGTCACTTAATGAGGACACTGGGAGCAACTCCAAGGTAATACCTGGCACCAGTTACAAGTCCGATGCCGTAACTGCTGTGGGACTGCACCACCATTTTTGGAAAGCCTGTAGTTCCACTGGTAAAATAGATCAGCATTGGGTCTTGACTTCTTGTCTTGACACATTTATGGTCAGCAGATGCCACCCTTCAGAAGAAATAGTACATTATAGTCACTACATGCGTTTTTCCACCAAGGAATCTGCATTTCTAAGGTTTAGGAGTTAAAACAGGAAAATAGCCCCAAACTGTAGGATCTCACTAAATAAAAAGACACATCAGATACCACAGGCAAGCATTAGAGAACACATTTTGCCTGTCACAAGTGCACTCTGAATCACAAGGCTCCTGAGTGAGTGAGGAGATGCTGAAGGACCTAATTTAGCTCCCCAAACCTTTTTCGGACAAATTTGTACTTAATACAGTGCAATAACAATGCAGTGCATTGACAGAAGGATGCAAAAATGTAACTAATTTTTATTTTGGAAGTGAACCCCAAATCACAGCAGTGTCACCTGACTGGTACAGCCTCCTTCCCCCCACATGGATGAAGGTCAAACAACTGGATACTCACTCAAGGTGCTTTTTGAGGTTCAGCCACCCAGCCCTGCTCCCTTTGCCTACAATTAGTTTACTTTTCAGAAACTGGCTGTCAGGCACAACAGATTCCACTGCAGGTGCCAGTGTGTCACTGGTAATGATGCACTTGGCCTTTGAAGCTTGGAGTCGGTATAAGATGTCTTTGGCTGTTAGTTGGGATGTTCCTGGAACAAAGACAATTCCTGGAAAAAAGCAATGAGCAATTTAGACAATTCAGCATTTCACAAAATACTTGATCTTGTCTCTTTGATGCTGAATTGTTCCATCAAGGACGATCAGCAGTTTAAAAATGCAATGGGTCAAATCCTTCTTAAGCATTTGCAACACTGCAAAGCAAAAGATTGAGTTATTAACCCCTTTAATCATATAGTTAGTGCATTAAAACTGTCCACCCAGATAATTTATCTGGTCAAGGCTGCCCTTAGATTGTAACCATTCAACCTTCACTGACTTCCACTGCAGATCCAATTTACCTGAACCACATCTGTCCCTTTGGTTCCTGTGTGGGTGCTGCCAATTCTCCTGCTGTGCAAAGCTGAACTCTACAGGTCACAGCAGAATATTCCTGCTTACATTTGCTCCCCATTAATTTTGCACATTGCCTGTATCGTCTCTTTATTCCTGTCTGCATCCAAGAGGTCAGTGAGGTCACTCACCTGTTCTCATACAGGCTACATTGAGGAGCCACCACTCTGGGACACGAGGCAGAACTGCTATAACTCTGTCTCCTCTCTGCAAACCACATGCCTCAGAAAGTACATTGGCTGCCTTCCTGGAGAGAAATCCCAGCTCTTCAAAGCTCCACTTCACCTCCTCTCCCTCCTCATTTACCCACCAAAAAGCTGGATTTGCTGGTTTTCTTCCATCCTAGAACACAACAGAAGATAGTAAAGTAAGAAGAAAGGCCTTAAAAGGTTTCATTTCAAAACAAAATAATTCCAGACTAGGCACATTATCCCTGGTAACTAGTCTCTCAGAGTGATACCTATATTTCTGATAAGCCAAACAAAATGTTGCATTCCACTCTGCAGTTAATCTACCAGTATCCATCAGGAAAATTGATTTGTATCATCTGAGCTTTGTTCCAATGTGCTCTGGTTTTGGCTGGGATAGAGTCAATTTTCCTCCTAACTGCTGGTAAAGTGCTGTGCTTTTTGGCTTTGGGATGAGAATAATGCTGGTAACACACTGATGTTTTAGTGGTTGCTAAGCAGTGCTTACTCTAAGAAGTCAAGGACTTTTCAGTTTCCCACACTCTGCTAGTGAGGAGGTGCACAAGGCACTGGGAGGGAGCACAGGCAGGACAGCTGACCCAAACTGCCCAGAGGGGTTCTGAACACCACAGAACATCCTGCTCAGTGTAACCTGGGGATATAACCTAGTCAGGAGGTGCCAATCACTGCGTGGGCACTGTCTGGGCGTGGTGAGCAATCACGTTGTGTATCAGTCGACTTCGGTTTTTCTTCTCTTTGTCTGTTGCCTCCCTTTTCATCACTACTGTTACTGCTATAATGATGACTATTATTACTATTATATGTCATTTTATTTCAATTCTTAAAATGTTCTTACCTCAACCCATGGGGTTTACCTCTTCTTTCCTGATTCTCCTCCCCACCCCCTGGTGGGGTGTGTGTGTGTGTTCATGTGATCCAGGAGCTCTGGGGTACTTGGTTGCTGGCTGGGCTTAAACTACAACACAATGTCTATAAAGCAAAAGAAAAATACTACCTTTTCCAGTTGGGACCACTCATCTAAGACATCACTCGCAAAGTTGAAATATTTTGGCAGTTCCTTTTTATACTGATTTATAGAATCATAATGGGAAATAATCTGAGATGTCAGAAGCCTCTTGTATCCATGGAAGGATCTGCAAGGTGACCTGAGTATCTGCAGACACCGAGGAATCCATGATTTAATGAACGTTCTCATGATAAATGATGTTTTATCAGACAGTGGGAAAAAAAAAATCAGGATTCAGCTAAGGAATCAGTCACCTGAAATGAAAGAAAACACATTTAAAACTAGCCAGGTATTGGATACTGTCTTGTTTGTGATATTGGGTAAATTAATGTAAACCAGGCTGAATAAATAGGTTGTTTGAGCACATCCTCATTTTATGTGTATTTTCACTATGTGAATATTTAATATTACAGTGTGCAAAAGGATAAGCACAGTCATTTTGAGGTTAAATCAAAATGTGGACTATGGAAAAAAATTAGCAAATTGTTGCTATGAATCCTGCAGCAACAGCCACCAACCAACCAACCAAATCTAGAGAGTATTTGAAAACAAACCAGTTCTGAATTGATGGGTAGTTCACTGAAGTCACTTAGGAAGCTGTTCTGATCCACTTAGATGCAGCGGGAAACCAGGTTCTAAAACATTCCCATAAGTGAGATTAAGGCCCAAAGTACACCAAATGCTGGATTCCAAAACGATAACTCGACTTTATTTTGTAACACAAAGGAGCGGAGAGAAAGGAGGAGGACAGGAAAGCAGGGAAAAGCTGAGGGTGACTGTTAAAAGCACAGCACAGGAGTTACCACCACCACGAAGCGCTTCTCCCTTGATCGTGCTGAGCCTCCGAGGAGGGAAGAGGCAGGCAGGGTAACAGAGTGGTACCAGTGCCCTCAGCAGGGGGGGATCCTGCCACCACCCTGGGCACCGCCCTAAATACCTCACCGGGTAGAGCCTGGGTGCCCATTGGCACTTCACCAGTATCCAAATTGGACCCTGGCTGCCCATTGGCTGATTCCCCGGTATCCAAGCGAGGTCTGCCTGGCACGCCCTATGTGGGAGAGTCAGTACTTGCCGTGCTCTTGATTGTAACAACGTTCTGCTGGCTGGGTATCTCCTGGAGCTCCTGAAGCAGCTCAGCTCCTGCAGCAGCCCAGCTGTTGGCACTGAGACTTCTTAGCTCCGAGCTCCAGGGCAATGGCAAAGCAGACTCCATCTTTTAATAGTCCATTACAGTAGGTCGCTGATGGTTTGAACAGTCCAACTAAATGTGAAGTTCCCCATCCTGCTTTCTGATTTTTTTTTACCACCAGATTTTTAAGGACCTAATGTGGCTCCTTGTCTGTAGCTCAGCTGATCCTTGCAGAATTTCGATGAATTCTCTGGGGCTTTTAATTGCCCACAAGTCTCCTTCCCCAAACACATCAGTTGTTATTGTTTGCATTAATAAGGTTCCTGTTTCTCACACCAAAGCATTCAGTAGTGGATTCTCTACTCCTTTTCCTTCCCATGGAGCTCTGAAGGATGTTTCCAGATGACTTCCATCAAGATGCTCACTGCTTTAGCCTCAACAGTTGCTGACTGATACGTCCATTCACCACATCCATCTCACGAACCTTCACTTCAATAATCCCTTACGTAGGCCCCAGATTTGATTTCCACACTGTCTGCCTTGGATCACCTCCTTGTCTTTTATATGTCTTAACATATCTGCTAGGAGGATCTGCTCCATGACCTTCCCAGTCATCAAATTCTACATCTGCCCATAAATGCCCTCTTCCATCTGTACCTACCATAATAATCCTAAAAGCTCTCAATTCCAATTAATTTCTTCCTTTCCATCACTATTCTTCATTCTTTCTCCATTATAATATTTTGATTATTATTATTATTTATTTTTAGCAGTCCAGGGGATTGCTTCAGAGCTGTGGTCAATACCAAAAATTCCAATGTTATTTAGAGGCTTCTCTTAAGTGCACACAGTTATCAAACAGGGGCAAGAGCCCACAGTCAGAGCAGGAGTCAGGGGAGTCCTGGAGGCCTCTCGTGATTTTAGAACCTGAGTCCAACTTCTGATTTGCCTTTTTCAACCACTAAACTCAATTACTCAGTTACTAAACTCAGTACAAGGTTTAGGGTGAGTGACTCCTGGAATACAGGGTAATTTTTCTTTCCTATTTTTACAAAGGATGAAACTATCCACAAACTACCAACAAAATGACAGGTAAACTCTTCATCAAATTCTTTGTCATGCAGAATTTCTGTGGCCTGAGTGAATCTGCAAAGTTTTGCCCCTTGTCCCAGGTTTTTAAGTACATTTTGCAGTCATTTGACCCTTGCCCAGAGTCTTCAACCATAACCATTTATCATCACATCTCTGATGCGTGAATCTCAATCTTGGTCAGATTTTATTCCTCAAGAAAAAGTAGCTTATTTAACACTGGAAGTATTTCCTTATTCCTCAGCAGAAGCTTTTACAGTAATATTTATTCTACCTATCAAGCAAATTAATTCAAACACATAGAACTTAACACCTTATTTTTTCAGCCATATCTGACAGCATAAAAAATCTGGATGCAGATTTCCCCCAAACAGATACTTAGTCAAAACCAAGAGTAAAGAGTAATTCCTGGTGTTCTCCATGTTCCATGGAGATTGTGGCAGGCTAACACTGACCAGCTGTAAACAATCCTATAGGATATCATTTGCTCCTGAGAAAGAATCTTAGGACCTGGATATAAAATTAAGTGCCACTCACTTCAGAATCAGGATTGTAGAACAAAAAGTTCTTTAGAAAGTAATTAGACTTTAAGCAGAACGTTATTAACAGGACTTGGTGTAAAAAATTATTTTAAAAAGCTTGACTGGTGAAAAATCATATTTCAAATATTCCCAAAATATGTGCACAGAAAATGGACATTAATAAAAGGATTTATGTCATATTTGGGGATATACATTCATTTGTATTTTTTTTCTTTCTTTCTTAAGGAAACAACTTTTTAATTGGTGCAACATCCTGTAAACTTTGTTATTGTTTTCATTAGGCAGACATCTATTGAGTAAAAATATCAAGATTTTCTTGAAATGGAACCTTTCTTTTAGTTTTTGACCTCCACTGTTAATGCTAAAAAACAATGGATCCACTTTAAATCCTTGAAAAACAAACCTAATCATTTTGGTTATTATTGTTAACAACACAGGAAGTGTTGGTCTGCTCTAATTCTATGATTTAACTATCATCTACAGATCTCAGAGCATTACAATGACAAGATCTACACAATAGCCTGTCAAGGAAAGGGGAGGGACAGAACATTCAGGAACAGTATTCAGGATCAGAAATGGTATTCAAGACTGACAAGATGAAAGACATTTTAAATTCAGGATTCCCCAGTGGTCTACCAAAACCTCTGCCAAATTTTGCTGTGAGACCCTTCAAGGTTTTAGCACTTCCTCACCTGCAGACCTGGAGGTGAAAACAAAGTGAAAAAAAGACCCAGGAATGGCCAAGTCCTTTGAATGACTCCAAGAACCAGGAATTGTTATTCTTGGTTTAGTACCCCCTGCTTCTGCTCAATGATCATTAACATGAATAATTCAGACAAACATTTTCCTGACCTGTCTGCTGTGGACAGGAGAGATTGAGAGCTGGCTGGGGCAGATCCTCTTCATTCAGTTTGCTTGGCTCTCACAACATATTTCCCAAAAGAGACACTGTAAAGATGAGCCTTTACCTGGAGACGTGAAAGCCGGACCCTCTGGGAAAAAGGATTTGGAGTGAAACCCTTCCTACTTTATCGTTCGCTTCGTCTGAAGTAACGAGAACAGAATGGAAAGCAAAACAGACCAAGCAGCAAAACTCTCTCCATAAAGTAACCTTTTTCTTGTAATCATTTACACCATTGTTAATTGTGCATAATTTGCACCTTAACCCAAAGCACTTTGGGACTTCTTTTTCTGTGTGTTAACCATTTAAGTAGATCAGAAATTCATCAAGGTGAAGAAAAGCATTAAAAGAAAGTGTCTTTCCACTCTGAAAGCATTTGAGAATGTTACAGTAATAATTTTTGAATGTCAATTAATTTTTGATACCTCAGGACAAACATTATTTTTATTTTCAATTTCTCATTTACTTGTTATTATCAAAATCTTGTAGTTACACCTATTTTTTTAAGGAAGCTGTTTATATAAATTCCAGTACAAAAATTAGACCTTTGTATGCTCCTGGGTGTGTCCTTTCCCTCTCCCATTCCACACTCTTAATTACTTGCACCGTCTGCCTTCTGCCTATCTGTAGGTCAATGGAAGAAGTGGTTCCAATACCACACATCCTCAAGCCACGTGTGTGTTTTCTCCTTTTTCTTCCATAGCTTGTTTTCCTAGTCCTCTGGGTCATGACCATATGCCCATTGTCACCTGGTATGACCAGTACAGATGATGGAGATTTTCTCTCCCTCGTTTCCAGATCACTCTCACCCTTGTCATTCTCTTGCCCACTCTTTGTTCTTTAGAACCTTTCTCTGGATTTTCCCAGTAGCTGTCTTTGGCAGATCTTGAACAAACTCCACCTGAAAGGCAAAAATTCTCGCTTGCAGCCAAACACTTTCTGGTTAATTTGCCATGTGCAAAGAAAGACACACATTTATTATGGCTGGGGGCAAAAAGATGGGAAGCTGCCCAGCATGGTCTGGGACAGTGAAATTCCATATTACACACTGCAGTTGACACCACTTGTAGGGACAACTACCACAATCCCAAAGAGGTGAGTGCTTCAGCTGTCAGGATAGGGAGCTACTGGTGTCTTTCTTGGAGTAAAGGGGTGGATTCCAACCCCACTGATGCCAGAAGGAATTTCCCTTTTTCTTTGGCTGAGAGTCTGAACAGAGCTCAGGAGGAATGATTAAGTTCAACATCTTGCCCACTTGAGCTGCTGGGAAAACCCCAGTGTTCCATGAAAGGAAGACTGGACTCTGATGAAGTCAAGTCACTGACCATTGCCTCCCTTTGGGTCCTTTTGAGCACACACAGCGAACCCAAAGCTACAGCTGCAACACACCCTGTCATCTACTCTGGTTTTATTTAGCTGTTGTTGGAGTGTTTGCCAGAATGCAGCTGAAAAGGAGCTGAGGGAGGACCAAAAATGCTCAGTTTCTGGTACAAGGAGAAGCCCTGTCTTTTGGGGCTGTACTTACCTTCCTTGGATACTTGTAAGGTGCAGTCACTTTCTTGACATGCTGCTGAAGCTCCTGAGTTAATTTTTCTGGATCATGTGATGCAAAAGCAGGAGCTAAAACTATGAAGGCTTTGACCACCTGTGTCACAAAAATTAAGGGATTCCATTAGCTTTCCGAGGTGGGAATAAAGAGATACATTTCTTGTGAAAAGGGAGTGTCTAAATTCAGAATGCAAAAATTTGAGCTTTTTCTTTAAGTTGGCTTTCCTTGGCTGTTTATTACAGAATGGTGTGTTATGAAGGCTCCATTCTGCAGTAGAGAATATTTTTTTCCCTTTTTCCACTTTTTCCCCCCTTAATTTTATATCCTATTAAAGCTGAAAATCTCATCCCAGTTGCTCAAACAAATGTTGCAAAGGTGAAAAACATAAAGCAAAAATAGAATATTCCAGATGTCATGGCCACCATGCACTTAGTGGCAAAAAGAAGAATAATCCAAATTCCACTACTTAGAGAAAAAGATGCCAAAATAAGTCTGAAAAGTCATGTCTCTTTTCCCACATAAATGCCACAAACAAAGAAATAATTCTGAAATTCCAAGATTGGTCAAGATATGGATTAAAAAACATTGTTGTCAGCCCATTTAATTTGAAAAATCTTCAAGATGTTGAATTCCAAGAAAGCCTAGGATGTATAGGGAACTTGAGGCTTACAATAAAGGGCATTTCTTTCCACATCTTTGTTTTCTATTATTATTTCTTTTTACCTCTCCTCGAACTGGATCAGGGCTGCTGACCACAGCTGACTCTACCACTGCTGGGTGTTGGATTAAAGCACTTTCCACTTCAAAGGGGCCAATCCGATACCTGGGAGAGAGTGAAGATCTGTCAGCTGCAGCAAGATGGGCCAGTCCATTGGTCTTTCCAGGTTGCATTTGAACAAGCAAACGATCACATCTAAAAGTACCTGACTTACCCAGCAGAATTAATGATATCATCATCTCTCCCAACAAACCAGACGTATCCCTCTTCATCCATAATCCCTCTGTCCCCAGTGACATAAAAATTTCCACACACAGAGGCAGCTGTTTTCTCTGGATTATCCTGACAACAGTCAAAAAATGTATCTGACAGTGAAACATAACACACTGACTTCACAGCGGTGCTAAAAATGAACAAGAAAATTATTTGAACAACCTCAAAATGAGTTTGTTCAATACTATTTTGTGTCTTCAACTAAAAGAAACAGAGCAATGTCAAAGAGCAGTTTGGTGGTAGAAATATGTGAGGGGAGAAAGAAGCACTCGTGTACGTATAGATTAGTGCTTTAGGGAGAAAAGGCTGTGCTGTATCTAAATTCCCATCCATCACAGCAAATGACTAAAATTTGTAGCCCCCTGTCTTCTAGGAAATGATTTTTCATTGCATGGAGGTGCCACAATAACATCCTGTCTAAGGAAACTTTTTACCTTTAACTGTCAAGAACAAGACTCAAATGAGGTGATCTGCAGGAAAAAATTTCATTCTCTACACTGACCGTAGGTTCCCCAGGAAAAACACGTTGACAACAGACATAGTTAAACCCTGAAGCAACAATACTGAGCCTAAAAAAGTTTTTTATCACACAGTGTGCAATTACATTATACAAGTTGTTGTTTGAGGATGCTACAAATATCCAAGTATTATTTGGATTCAGAAGAGGATTAGACACAAAGATAGGTCTCCCAGAGCTTATTCAATATGACAGTTGAAATGCTGTGGACAACAGGTTTGCCTGATTCTACTCTTTTCTTAAGAAAATACTGCACCTCAGCACCACCACACAACCAATCAGGCTCAAAGTCCTCCAGTGAGACCCACTGGAGATCTTGGATGAAATCCTGCTCCTGGCATAAGTGAACAGAACTTTGCCCTGGGTCTGCCCTGAGTGTCTCAGCAGGCACAGGCACAGCAGCTCAGGCTCACCAAGTACTCCGAGAACAGGCAGAAGGGCCGTGTCGGCTGGACTCGGACAGCAATGCTGCCCTCTTCTCCTGCAGGCAAAACAGCCCCATGGTCATCTATGATCTGCACAAAGGACACATCATCATTCCTTTGGTTAGCTCTGAGGAATGAATCTCTGTTACAGCACAGTGCAGGACAGGGAAGGGCCGCAGACAGCATTCCTTCCTCACCCACCCCCAACTGCACCGCATCGACGTACCTGCACGTCGTAAGGGGGAACGGCTTTTCCCAAAGAGCCAGGTTTGATTTTCATTCCTTTCATGTTGGCACAGATTGTCACCTGCATAATAGATTTTTATCATTTTTTAAATTTTTGCATCATCTTGAACATTTTATTATTGTTTGCATTAGACAGGACATGACTTTGTTGTGACCAGGGTTGAATCAGGACCAAAGTACTGTGATTCTAAAGATCATCATCTGGGATGTGAGCTGGGATGAAGTAAAGATGATGAAGGGATCTACTACAGTAATTTCATTTATTGCAAACGTACTGTTTCGGTCTGGCCATAACCTTCATGGATATCCAGCCCTGTCTGGATTTTCCACTTCGCCATCACTTCAGGATTGAGTGCTTCCCCTCCAGATAGACAGTGCTTCAGACTCGTGAACTTGTAGCTTGAGAGGAATAGCAAATGAAATAATTTTTTTAACTCCTGAGAAGAGCAGTGCGTGGCCTTAACTGAACAGCCTCCCTTGGCTTTCCAAGTAAGTACACATAGAACTTCACAAGTTTCTTGGAAATGACAATAATCATCCTGTTATACAGACCTTGACTGGACTCCTAGATTGCTTGTGTTACCACTGGAGATAAAGTGGTTACTCTGAGTCACTAGAAGTAGGTTTGTCTGCCGGCACATGAGTGAGCAAATGTGTTTTCTTGGAAGGGCTGACATGAAAGGAGAAATCTAAACAAGCGCATCAGATGTTTGCAGGATGCTGAATTACATACCAACATCCAAGATAAAATAAACACTGAGAATTTTATAGAGCAAAAGTAAGCCTGAGCTCTCTGCTAAACCTGGGTTGATTTTTGTCAGGATGAAAGATCTACGTGAGAAGAGTAAGTACCTTACTGAAGATGGCAGAACTCCTTACAAACCACTTCTCACAAGCTGAGTATTTTACACAGTAACAAACTGATGCAAACAGCTGCCAAATAACTCTCAGGACATGAAACTCCTCTTACTGCTCATTTCATTCTCAAGTATATGAGAACAACTTCACTGTACTTCACTAATTCCCTGATCCAATGCTGCCTGAAACTTGACTTAAATTTAAATTATGAACAAAAAGTTCAGAGGAAGGGACAACTTAGAATAATCTCACTTATTTCCTCTGTGTTGTCTTTTCAAAGACCCAGCCGTGAAGCCTTAGTGGCCTATGGTGTGACTAGTTACTCTCATATTTCATAACTCAGCTCTGTTTCCTTAAAGCATGTTTTGCTAATTAGATTTCCATTAACTGAAAAAAAATTAAAAATAAGGAACCTGAAGAACTAAACAGCCAGAGCTGTCACAGCATTATATCCCAGCCTCCCTCCTAGCCCTGCAGTACCTGCTCAGATCATGCTGGACCAGCATGCGGTAGGCAGTGGGAGCAGTGCAGAAGGTAGTGATGGGGTATCTTGAGAGAGTCTAGAAAAAGAGAAAGTTATTTTGTAGAAAGAAAATGTAATGGTGGGTCAGACCTTGTAAAGGTGCAGGTGATTAACACAAGAGGCCAGTGTTGAGGAGAATTGGTCATCTGACTGGTTTTGCAAAGTGCCTGAGAGGAGGAATAGGCACTCTGGCCAGTAACTGAAAATTCAGGATAACAGCGCCCTAATGTTGGTCTGTGCCATATTCTGGTTACTGGTCCATTCTCACACTGGGCCCAAAGCAGCTGGAAGCCCATACCTGAAGTGATCTTTAGTCTCAGTATGGGACAAGATAGCAGTGATTCCATCATTTTTATATCCTGCATCTTTCACCAATTCTCCTCTACATTGAAGCTGTGTCACATGGCTTAACCAGGAGTGAAAATACTTGTTCCTCTAGCTTACTGGGCACCAAAGGAAGGGAAGATTGCTTGGAATGTGGGGAGTACTATCCCTGCTGCTACAGAGGAATGGCACCCATGTACTGGCACCCAGCTTGTTTGCTTCAGTTGTGTGAAAGGGAAATAAACCTCCCAGGATAAAACGTTATGCTTACCTCTGCCATAACTGCTGGCTTAAACTGTGGCATGTGGTGTACAAAGACACAAGATCCACAGATCCATGGTGCAAAAACACTGCCCCAAGCTGCTTTTACCCAGCCAGTATCAGAGGTATTCCACATTATATCTGAAGAAGTCAGGTTCATCCAATGCCTGATGATAAAACAAAGATGTAACTTCCAACTCAGAATGCCTTGGGAAAGGCATCCTTTGATTTTCATGAAAATTTTCACTCTTTAAGAAGCATACTGAGCCTTCCAGAAGCTTTTAAAAATGAGGGTTTTACCATGAGAGGGGAAAGATGAGGTAGAGGCAAGATCCTCCAGTCACTGACTGCCTGCATTCACTGGAGTTTTACGGTCACATTTTCAATGTAATGGGGATCACGTCACTTAATGAGGACACTGGGAGCAACTCCAAGGTAATACCTGCCACTGGTTGCAAATCCAATGCCATAACTGCTGTGGGACTGCACCACCATTTTTGGAAAGCCTGTAGTTCCACTGGTAAAATAGATCAGCATTGGGTCTTGACTTCTTGTCTTGACACATTTATGGTCAGCAGATGCCACCCTTCAGAAGAAATAGTACATTACAGTCACTACATGCATTTTTCCACCAAGGAATCTGCATTTCTAAGGTTTAGGAGTTAAAACAGGAAAATAGCCCCAAACTGTAGGATCTCACTAAATAAATAGTTGCAGTAGTTAACACAGGCAAGAGTTAGAGAACACATCTTGCTCGTAACAAGTATGCTCTATATGCCATAACATTTAAGATGTGAGCACCTACAGTATATTCCAGTGACTTTATCTGCAACTGTTTTCCAAGGGCAGTCAAGGTCGTTCTTATGGAACATCAGGCAGATGCAAAATCAGCTTCTGCCTCAACACATACTGACTCCCAACCTGAAATCAAGAGTGGCCATATGGAGGCTGTCATGCCAAGTAAGCTGGCCTTATTACTAACAGTATACCATTTATGTTCAAGAGACTGATGAACAATTCAGATCCTCTGGACTACCAAGAAATAACTGAGCACCAAGAGGTGGCAATGGATATTTTAGCATTGAATCAAGAGGCTCTAGAGAAGACAAGCACAAAACAACAGATTAGTACTGTGTGTGCTTGTCTCATGATCTAAGTAGAAGCAGAGAGCGTCTAAAAGTTGGAAGTGTGTGGAGTGAAGGGATGCTGAAGGACCTGAATTTAGGTCCTAAGAACTGTTAGATGAATCTGTACCTAATGCAGTGTAATCACACTGCACTGAGCTGAAAGAAGGATGAAAAATGTAACTTATTTGTGTTAAGGAAATGAACTCCAAAACTCAGCAACGTCACCTGACTGGTGCAGCCTCCTTCCCCCCACAGGGATGAAGGTCGAACAACTGGATACTCACGCAAGGAGTTCTCTGAGGTTCAGCCACCCAGTCCTGCTTTCTTTGCCTACAATTAGTTTACTTTTCAGAAACTGGCTGTCAGGCGCAACAGATTCCACTGCAGGTGCCAGTGTGTCACTGGTAATGATGCATTTGGCCTTTGAAGCTTGGAGTCGGTATAAGATGTCTTTGGCTGTTAGTTGGGATGTTCCTGGAATAAGGACAATTCCTGGAAAAAGCAACGAGCAGTTGAGAAAACTCAGCATTTCTCCAAGAATACTTGATCTTGTCTATTTGATGCTGAATTGTTCCATCAAGGACAATTAGCAGTTTAAAAATGCAATGGGTCAAATCCTTCCTAAGAATTTGAAAAACTGCAACAGCAGAGCAAAAAGGATTGTATTGAATAATTAATCCTTTAATCATATAGTTAGTGCATTAAAACTGTCCACCCAGATAATTTATCTGGTCAAGGCTGCCCTTAGATTGTAACCATTCAACCTTCACTGACTTCCACTGCAGATCCAATTTACCTGGACCACATCTGTCCCTTTGGTTCCTGTGTGGGTGCTGCCAATTCTCCTTCTGTGCAAAGCTGAACTCTACAGGTCACAGCAGAATATTCCTGCTTACATTTGCTCCCCATTAATTTTGCACATTGCCTGTATCTTCTCTTTATGTCCTGTCTGCATCCAAGAGGTCAGTGAGGTCACTCACCTGTTCTCATACAGGCTACATTGAGGAGCCACCACTCTGGGACACGAGGCAGAACTGCTATAACTCTGTCTCCTCTCTGCAAACCACATGCCTCAGAAAGTACATTGGCTGCCTTCCTGGAGAGAAATCCCAGCTCTTCAAAGCTCCACTTCACCTCCTCTCCCTCCTCATTTACCCACCAAAAAGCTGGATTTGCTGGTTTTCTTCCATCCTAGAACACAACAGAAGATAGTAAAGTAAGAAGAAAGGCCTTAAAAGATTTAATTTCAAAATAAAATAACTCCAGACTAGGCACATTATCCCTGGTAACTAGTGTCTCAGAGTGATACCTATATTTCTGATAAGCCAAACAAAATGGTACATTCCACTCTGCAGTTAATCTACCCAGTGTCCATCAGGAAAACTGATTTGTGTCATCTGAGTTTTGTTCCAGTGTGTTCTGGTTTTGGCTGGGATAGAGTAAGCACTGCTTAGCAACAACTAAGTCAAGGACTTTTCAATTTCCCACGCTCTGCTGACAAGGAGGTGCACAAGAAGCTGGGAGGGAGCACAGGCAGGACAGCTGATCCAAACTGCCCAGAGGGGTATTGCACACTACAGAACATCCTGCTCAGTGTAATCTGGGGGGAAGTTGCTCAGGAGGTACCAGTCACTACCTGGGCACTGTCTGGGCGTTGGTCAGTGAGTGGTGAGCAGTCGTGTTGTGCATAACACGTATTTCTTGGGTTTTATTTCTCTCTCTCTCTTTCTATTGTCTCCAACTGCTACTGATATGATGATGATGACTATTATTACTATTATATGTCATTTTATTTCAATTCTTAAAATGTTCTTACCTCAACCCATGGGGTTTACCTCTTTTTTTCCTGAGTTTCCTCCCCACCCCCCTGGGGGGTGTGCGTGTGTGTTCATGTGATCCAGGAGCTCTGGGGTACTTGGTTACTGGCTGGGCTTAAACTACAACACAATGTCTATAAAGGAAAAGAAAAATACTACCTTTTCCAGTTGGGACCACTCATCTAAGACATCACTCGCAAAGTTGAAATATTCTGGCAGTTCCTTTTTACACTGATTTATAGAATCATAATGGGAAATAATCTGAGATGTCAGAAGCCTCTTGTATCCATGGAAGGGTCTGCAAGGTGACCTGAGAATCTGCAGACACCGAGGAATCCATGATTTAATGAACGTTCTCATGATAAATGATGCTTTATCAGACAGGAAAAAAAATCAGCTAAGGAATCAGTCACCTGAAATGAAAGAAAACACATTTAAAACTAACCAGGTATTGGATACTGTCTTGTTTATGATATTGGGTAAATTAATGCAAACCTGGTTGAATAAATAGGTTGTTTGTGCACATCCTCATCTTCCCCTAGTATTTTATGCTCCTCCTTATCTGTCAAGGACATTGTTCACTGCTTTTTCATTAGAATCTTTGTTCTCCACTTTGTTAGCAGATGAATGTTTCTCATATCTCATCTCTAAATTTCACTTACTAGTCCTTTTTTTAGATATCTGTCTTAATTCCTGTAAATTTTATATTTTACTCTGCCTGCTTACAGAAATAAAATGCCATTAGTTGTTAAGTGCTTTGAGGACAGTATCACCTTGACTTAAAAGGGTGTCTCTAATTATGCTATGCCTTAAATATGCACTAGATGGCGAGTCATACTGCATTTATGCACCAATAAAACCGATGAATCCCTGAAATATTTCCTGGTGAGTTCTATTTTCTTTGGGGGCATGGAATAAACACAAAACAAACAGTGGGTGAGCACGGGTGAAATGCCAAAGAGTTCCATTTGCTCTGCACTTCAGCTGGAGTGTGCAACTTGGGGAAGGACACTTGTCATAAAACAAACTTGCAAAGAAAATGCCAATGCTTCCAACTTCTCCTCATGTTTCCTGTACAATATACAGGTGTAGTGTCTAAAAGAAAACACTGTACTCCACCAGTTTCAATTTTCTGTTCGGTTCTACAAAATCCCACTCCTTTCCTCACTGCAAACTGTCCTGGCAGGATGGACTGTTGTATGATCCTCCTTTTACAGTAGTTTCCTTCCAGGACACAGAGGTTAGAAGCCCCTTCCAAAATAGTGCCTATTTCCTGGCTTTCAGGAGGGATTTAGGTTGTCTGCTATTTATTTCAGTGGCAGAGAGGGGAAAATCAGCTCTCTGTGCAAATGGTTCTGCCATCCTACCTGTGCTCTGGGAGCCTTGGGCTGTGTTCTGAGCTTGCAACACTGCCTGTTCAGATCAAACAGGCCTTGATGGTTTTAACCTGTAATTCTGAAAGATGATTTTTAACCTTACTAGGATGTTACTTGAAAGGCATCTATGGAAAAGAGCCTGTTATGAAGAGAAAGAGACCACAAAGTCAAATGGGAGACTCTTATCTTTCTGCCTTTTTTTTTCCTCCTTTAGTACCTGATTGCTGAATCTGTATTTATGTGTGATCTTATCTTGCAAGCAGCCTGAATACACAGCTCCCTCTGATTTCATTAGGCACCCTGTACAAGTACTAACAGAGCACATCTCAAGGTGCATTTACAACCCAAAGCCTCTGAGACTTAGGAAAGAGTTTGCTTGAAACACAGCCCCACTCGCACCAGGCATGAAAACAACCTGAACTAAAGCAACATGTCACCAAAGATCCTTCACCCTCCAGTAAATGGAGGCTCCCACGAACACTCCTTCCTTTTAGTGGTACCCTCCTGGATAGAAAGGCTGCTAAGGGCATGAGGAGCGAAGCAGCACTTGCTACTCCTTGAGAAGGAAGAGTGATTGTTGGAGGAGGCCTCATAGTTCACAGGCATGGCTGATAGTTATCCAAAGATGAAATACTGCATTTAGTCCCTTTGGTTTATTGCATAGATATTGTAGCTGCATGAGATTGTGCTACCATTGAAAAACCAATGGTTTAACCCACAAAGTAGTATCTTCCTTGAGTTACAACTTGGCACTTATGTAGAGAGGGGAACCTCACAGACAAGACACTGAAGAGATGCAGATATTAAAATTACATATGCAAAACAATAAGAATTCTTCCCTGGCTTCAGCACACTCAGTCAGATCCACAATCAGTAGCTCCATAAGTGCAACAGACAACCCTCAAATCCTGCCCCAGGCACCTCACCTTGTTGCTTTGTCTGCAGCCCTGCACTGGGTAACACTGACAAGACCAGGGTGTCTGATTACAGAAGTGCACTGACTGCAAGCATTTCCTCCTGTGCTTTCACCCTCTCCCCAGGGTTTTGTTACTTACAGAAACACTAAACCCAGCTTTCCCACAGATACTTTTTTTCCCCCAAACGCTTCTAAAGATCGAGAAGTAGTTGACTATCTTAACCTTGCTGTGGAAAGGTGCAGTTGGCTCCACTGGTGGTAGACTCCTCTATCAACCTTATCAGCCTCTTGGTTTGGCTGATACAGCCACAGCCATATGAGCAGCAAAACCTGCTGCTTGGTGCTCCTTGCTTGTTTCTTTCTCAGTATCTGGATAAAGGCAGGACAAGATGAGGACACATCTGCTTTTCCTCCTTCTATTGCTGTTTCTCACAGACTTCCTGGCAGCAGACACCATAAGCCCAAATGAAGCAAAGCTAAAGAAAGCCAAGCTGCCCAAAATAAAAAAGGAGAACAATGTCCTCTTGCTGAAAAAGAGCAACTTTGACAGAGCATTGAAGGAAACCAAGTACCTCCTGGTGAAGTTCTGTGAGTATCAATTTCCACTGTCTCTTACCCTGATGGCTCTGCAGAGCATGACTGATGCTGGGACACTCAAGTATGCTTGTTCTACCATTGCTTTGTCCCCCAGAAGTCCTTGCTTGTTTTGTTTTTCTCCATGTATCTATTTCTGATCATAACTGCAGGAATTTATTCCTTTCTGGGGTGGCTAAATACCAGTCTGCTACATAAGACAGTGCTGAGTTTGCATTCTTCACTTCCACTGCCTAATTTTGCAAGTATGTGTTTCACAGCAGTAATGGGTGAAACATTAGGGAAAAAAATAAAACCAAACAAAAAATAATCAGGAGTGCTTTTCTGCCTCTTACATTTTCATCAGCATTTTGAATGAGGTTTTAGTTGGATGGCATCTCTCCTCTGGGAGTGCTTGGGCTTCAGGGAACGTCCTTTTACAACATTTTGGTGTTTGTAATTACATTATATGGAATATTTCCCTGAAATTAGCCCTTGATCAGGTGGAAGCAGGTTTGTGGTTCTTCTATTAGGTTGGTGTTCATTTCTGATGGGGAGAAAACTAGTGGGGGCTTTTGAGTAACTAGCTTTGTTATAGGGTCTGGTCATCAAGTACATCACAAAAGCAAAAGCCAAATATTCTGGATGTACTGTAGGTCAGCCTGAAATGAAAACACTTGTATTTTTCCAACAACAAACCCTGAAATACCCTAACAGATTAATGAAACTACAAATATGTTTGGATCATACCAAACATTTCACTAATCCTAAAACAATGTTATGAAACTTTAAATATTTTTAAACTTTCAGAATAATCACATTAGAAAATTACTTAAAACATAATGTCTACTTAATAATAATAATAAACTTTTAAACAGTCTTGAAAGTGTTGAAATTTAGGAAGATTTTATTTACTAATTATGGATGTTCTAAAGATATTTGCCAAATTCACGCTACAGTTGTGAACTGTTTTATCTCCCTGAAGATGCATCATTTTGGTGCAAAAATAATTGATCAGAAAAACCTTAGTAATTCTCTAATCTTTGTAAGATTTGTAAGATTTCTCTAAGCTTTGTAAGAGCTGATTTTAAGAACAGAATCTAAATGTCCAGGTCAGAGAAGAGTTTGTAGCCAAACCTTCTTAGTACTGGCACAGATTATCAACAAGGAGATATTGCAACACACTTCAGGATTGCAACCTGATACGAGTGGAAAGCAGGTGTGAAAAGACTCATAAAGGGACAGAAGTTGAAGAAAGAATTGTTTTGAATACAGTAGCCAGCACTTGGGCACTCAAAGGATGTGGAGATCTAAATCAGGCTTTCTTCTCCCTGTCCAAGAGCAGAGTCTTGCACCTCTCTGATACTCCATCACTCTCACAACTGGTTTCTTCAGAAGGGAAGGACAAACAAACTCTTCCATTCCACACTACATCTTCCAAAAAACATCAGAGGTGAAACACTGCTCCACAGCCACACCTTGCTCCAGTGATCCTCATGGCTTTCAGGTTTGGATTAAAGGCCGAGATATCTGAAGGGCTTATTGAAAACTCATGGATTGCATTTTCCCCACAAAACATAAAGGCATCTGCAATCCCTGTAAAGAATTGTGAAATCAGTCATGAGAGGGTTGAGCTCCACAGCCCAGATGCATTACCTGGAAATCACTGGCCTCATCCTCTCTAGCTCCCTTTGGAGACATGCCAGCAAACAGCCTCTGGGGAGTGAAAAACTATCCTGCAGTGAGGCAATGCCCCAGGATGTTGGAAACCTGACTCCACAGTGCTGAACAAGATGATTCATTGGCTGCAATCATTTCATTGCCACAGCACAAAGAGACTAAAGGTGAGACACGCATGTGCACCTGCACAGAGAAGCCATAAAGCCCCAGTATTTTATGTCCTACTCCCTAAAACGGGCTTTCTGAATAAACAATCTGTGTGAACTACTAAGGAAACTTAGATAATGTGAGAAAAAGCAATATTGGCTTTTTTCACACAGGAAATCTGTTGGGGCTGCCAGGAGCTAGCTTCAGAAATCCAGAATGAATACATGAATACAAGACCTGAGATCTTTCTGTTCTTGACTCACTCTCAATCACAGAGACATAGTCAGAGAAGGAATCCCAGGCTTCCCAGAAGGTGGGATTTGTTCTGGTGCTGTACCAACACAGGGAAACATCTGAGCTCCAAACTTTGGTTCAACACTCTGTCTTAGACCTGTCAGTTATGAGAAAACCCCAATACTTTCCCTGTGGCATAATATTATTTACTTACCAGTCCCACAGTATTTATCAGGTGAGGTCTGCTTTGATGTCTTCTGCCCAGAGACCCCCAAATCCTCCTAATGCCCGTCAGTTCCCCCGTCACAGCGTCCCAGGTCTGCCTTCCCTCTATTACTATAAATACACTCTGACTTTGTGCCAAGCAGTGGACGAGTACCCTCTGGAGCTGGGCAAAGTGCACAGGGTATGTACCGAGCGTAAACACAAAGTATTGACTCAGAAATCCATCACTCCACTGCCCTCATCCCAGCTGTGCTGTGGAACAAGGCACGGCTGAAAACCATACAAGTGTCACACGGGAACGTGCGAGCCCTGCCACCTGCCCAGCTGAGTTCTGTGCCCTGCTTGTGCCAGGAGCACAATCTCAGCGCTCAGTTGAACACTGCTCTGCTGCTGCAGTCTGTGGCATCTCCTAATCCACGTTAAACTGACCTAAATTTCACACAAATGCTTTTTGGCACAGGGAGTAGATAGAGGGCACTTGTCACCAGCAGAAGGTAGATCGGTGATGCCTGCATGGGAGAATGTCACTGTTTACATTATAAATTGGCTGAATAGAAGTCCCTGTGTTGACTTTTACTGCAGAAACAAACACACACACAAAAATCCCAAGCACTGTAACAAATATGCTCGTCAGAGGGAGAATAAACTTTATACACTTATAAACACAAACACTAGAAGCACTGCTTTCAGAGCACATGCTAACACCACTTCTTCCCACCTACCAGAAGAATTCAGGAAAAGGCACAGCTCCCAGGGAATTCTTGATTCCACTGAGAATGCTTGCTCCTGTCCTTTCCCGTGAAAAATTGTCAGTTCCTGGATAAACATGTGGATAACCTAAGGACAAGCACACAAGTGGTGCAGACCTTGTCCTGCTGCTTTGTGTACTGAGCCTACTCTCATTTATGAAAAAGTGATGTTTACCTCTTCTAGTAGAACATTTGCACATCCAGTGAGGCACCCATAGGATTCCTGCAACCTATGACTGACAATTACACTGAGATAATGACATCTTTGATAGGCAAGATGAGGGTTACTCTTAAAGCTAAGTATCTCCTTTTAAAGGCAAAAAGGCTGAAGGTGATGTTATTTAAAGAAAAGAAACCAAAACAAAACAAGAAAATGCTGCCTATGTATGTATATACTAGTTCATAAAAAGGGAGAGTTCTGGAACGCAGGATGGGTCATGACTGATCTTAAATCAATTATAGAGCTCAGATGATCAGCTCACTTATAAAGCCAGCATCCAAAGCATACTCACTCCTGTGATAAGAAATGATTTCAGCATTCAGGTGTGGTCTTCTCACCACAGGAGGTGAATGCAAACAGTTCAAATCTGCACAGAATAGTTATTTCTTATAACTAAGCTTCCCACAGGAAGGTAGTGCAGTGTGATAGATAGTGGAATGTGGATGCCTCATTCCACTTCATGCCTCATTCTGACTTACTCAGAAATCTGTGCCAGTCTTTAAGGAGTAAATCTTCTTGAAAGAGTCACTTTAACTGTTTGCAAACTATGCATATAAAAATGCCCAGGACAGTGGAAACACGTGTGTGGACAGGTAGAAGAGTCACTAGATGATGTTCTAGTTGCCTGCTGCCAACTTACTGACTACCATGGATTCCTCGTGTAGGTGTCCTCCTTTGAATAAGGATCCAAACTTAATATAATCCTTGATGTTTGCTTAGCAAAAGATCCCAGATGAACTGCAAATATCAGTTAAAAAGGAGAGGTCAGCACAGGAGACCATGGCTGTATCTCACTGTAGAAGAGAATGGGAGAATTCAAGGTCACACAAGAAAGTTTGCAACTGCAGAAGGATTAACACCCTTCCACTCTGACATGTTCAACATGAAACTATCCTTCACCTCAAGAGTCTTCTACAGAGAAACTTATAGATCTGTTGCACAACAGAAAAAAGAAGCCTACACAGAAGATGAGAAATGGGACTGCTAAAATGATTTTGTGAGCATGTCAGAAACTAGCAGGTAGCAAATCAGTATCCAGCATGACAACAGGCACAGTCACAATGACTGCAGCAATCCCTAAACCATGAAAACAGACAGCAGATTGGAGGCCATCAGCAATTAGCTAAAGGAAAAGGAAGTCATCATGCTTCCATGTATATTCACTTCAAGAAGGCTTTATGGTCATTAAACACATCCATGTATCAGCAAAAATTTTTTATGTCCACATTTCAATACATTTTAGCTCAGTAAACTGCACTATGAAAAGTAAGCAGCAGCTTACTCAGGTTACTGATGTATTCAAGAGGAAGAGTCTCTCAAAATACAACATTTCTGGTTCTCTTACCACCTTCAATTTTCCATTCCTTAATTTATCCTTGTTTTCATTTACAACACAACTAAAACTGCAGATAATGAAGACACTTTCCCACTGTGATACGATGCTGTTGCTGAGCTTTGAGGCCTCTGAAGGTCCTCTCTCTTCTGGCAGCTGTGGCACAGCACCCTGGTTTACACGGGTGCCCCACCACCCATGGATGCCTTCCCTGGTGACCTTGTCACCAACTGTGTTACCTCTCATCTGTATCTGCTCTTGTACTCTGCTGATGCTCAGCTCTCCTCAAGTTTGAAGCCTGTGATGCCACGTTAACCTCAGCAGCTGCTGCTTCATCCCAGCGCCTGAAGTGATCGGTGTCAATAAAAATCTAAACCAGAGCAAGCCAAACAAAACTCAAGAAAAGGCTCCAAAGAAAAGGAGTGATGATTTCCTGCATCTCTCTAGCAACTTGAAAAATAAAGCACCTGTAAGGCAAACAGAGAATGAGTGGAATGAAAAGGAATTGATGGAAAGCTGAAGAGGAGTTTAATCACTCAGGAAAGCAGGGGAAAGGTGCATGATGGATTTTCCACATGGTTTCTGGGTAGCCAAGGAAACAGTTTTTATCTGTCTGATGAAGAAGCCTGTTCACTCACTGAACTTGTGTCTCACAGTTTTCAGGTTAATGGTACTTGAATTTCTCCTGGTCTCTGACTGCAGTGATTACTTTTTACATGATGGAGTCATGCACTTTTCCCAGCTCCAGCCTGGAGCTGCTAACTCTACCATCTCTCACTATCTAAACATGCTACTTGCATTACTAGTTACCTGCAACTCTGACTACTCAGGTCATTCAGTGATAGGAGATCATTCTTAAAATATCTGTTTGGAATAAAAATATTTCAGAGAAAAATGGATGTTACTCCCCCCCCCGCCCCCGACAATCAATATCTCATGTGCATAAAGCTTAATATTCCCTGTACATTTGTGAAGCTTCAGCTTCTGTGTCTGGACTTCAGCAACAGTTTCTTCTGCCCCTTCTCATTTCACTGTGCAAAAAGCACTTAAGCTTCCAAGTTGCCATCTGTGGTAAAAGGAGCTGGGCAACATTAGGTTGTTAGGAAAAAATCGTTATACTGAAATTGCCTCTGGTGTAAAACATTGACTTGGAATTAGATAGAAGGTGCTGCATCCTGATTTTCTGTGTGGTTTCTTGATTCTTATTCCAGCTTCACTCTGTCCAGACCCGGACACCCTTCCTCCTGGAAGCCATGTGAGCTAGAGAAGGGCTCACACACAGCACTGCAGGCAGAAATATATTGCCAGTCTCTAAAAGACCATACTCTGTTCCTCTGTTTCTCTCCTCATATCTTATCTGGAAAGTGGTTTCTGCATTACAAAGGTTTGCCTCGTGAAGTGCTTACCAAAATGGGATCTTATCAAAGAGTGCTAATGTGAGTAGTATCTAACTCTATCCTTGACCTCCCTTTAACTCATACCCAGCATAGTCAGTCAAATTTCTTCTTAATTCCTTGTCATATCTTCCCAACAGAAGACTATTGAAATGTTAGTAGTTGTTCACCATGGCTGGTCCAAGGACGTGCAGAGTGATGAACAACCAGCATTAATATAAAGACGTAAATATAACCTCTCATTTATTTCTGAGTCGTATTTCTGCGTTATTCACCTCCCCCAGCTACTACTTGACACAACAACCTCCACCAGAAAGCCTCACCCTGTGGCTTATGTAACCCACTTGCTTTTGATTGGCCTTTTCCAGATGTTTCTTTAGCTCAATCATCTCAGAATTTCTCTGAAGAATTTGCTGAGGCTGCACGACAGCTAAAAAAAGAAGCTCCAAGAATCCAGTTTGGCAAAATTGATGTGACACACCAACCTGATTTGAGAAAAGAATTTAATATTCAAGCCTTTCCTACTGTGAAGCTTTTTGTGAATGGCAGCAGGGAAGATCCCATAGACTGCAAAGGTAAACTGTCTTATGCACTGATAAGATAATGATATGTAATGACAGGATGTACCTATCTATTATGCTGCTGAGAAGAAAAATATAGATATTCAGATAAAGAATACACAAGGTAGCAAACTGGTTTTTACAATTACCTTTGTACCAGTACAAGAACTTGAATCTGAATTCATACTCCAAGTGCATAACTGAATATGCTTTTCTGTGTTCAGCCAAATTAATTGCTGGTGTTATTCCACTGAACAGAGAATCACCTCAACAAGATAACTTACTCCCATATAGCACAATCAACATTAATGAGCTATGCCAAACAAGAATTTGGTCCCAGACTGCTCCATTTACCCCTCTGGTCCACTGCAATTTCCATGGGTAGTGTGCCTACAGGAGTAGGCTGGAGCAACACTGTGCATCTCTCGATGAATTGTGAATTCACTAGGTTCCCTGAAACACAGGTATGCTTCCTAAGCTAAGGGAAATAATTTTGCAATTTAGCCATCAGAGGGAGCTCATATGTGGCTCAGAAATAACATGGAATAACTTGAAGTCTTTTGCAGAAAGTTATTAAGCAAAGTCAAGGACAAACTTGAGCAATCCCAGAAATCCAGGCCTTATTAGAGATTTTTGTTCACTTACAGTATATACAAGAAAGTTTGGGTTTTTTCCCCAAAATGATGAACTTTCACAGAGATGATAAAAATTGCATGACTTGGGCAAGCATCTCTGAGTGTACTCTGAGCGCACACAGGTGAATCACAAGTTTAATACAACTAACAAAAAAAAAAGAACCTAAAGTTTGCCTCCTGAGTCTGTACACAACCAAGTGCTAAGATATCTTTAACTGCTGAGCCCCCTGTGGCTGCTGCTGAAAGCTGATCTTCAGTATTTTTAGTAACTTGCTCCTCCTTGCTATTGAATTTCTTACCAAGTTCCCACCATCCAGACTTGTGCAAACAGCAGCTTCTGCACAAATGCCACTGAAAGCGTGATTTGCCATACTGAACTTTTATTAGAGGTGCTGATACCTGAAAGCAAAAGCCCCTGCCTTCAGTCTCTGGTTAAATCTATAGCATTGACAAGAAAACCTCTTTGAAACTGGTAAACCTGACACATTTTCTCCTGTGAACCAGTGAGTACAGAGTATCTTAACAGCACACACACAGTCACCCTTCAGCAGAGAGCTGCTCTTTCAGACACACTTCCCAGCAAGATGCAAGAATTAGGAAATTGTCTTCTGCTCTGTGTTTTGTACACCAGCTGTTCAGAGCACGTGTGCCACCAAATAATGACTTAAACTGCATTTTGTTGACTGGTGAAGGCTTATGTGCAACAATGAGTAAAACCTCTCCTACCATGTGTGACTTTTAAACCACTGAGCATTGACAACTGGAAATGTGCAGTGCCTGCCCAGTGACTTCTCATGTAGAACTTTGTGCATGCTTCATACCCCAAAAAAACCTGCAGGGTTTGCTTAAACCAATAAATGATTTCAAACATTTAATGGAAGATGGAATTTTTGAATTGCTGCCCTGGCAACGGACAGAACATGAAAGCCAAATTCCAGGCTTTGTAAAATCGCCACTTACAACTGCCAGGCCAGAATTTGGCCAGTAGAAACAAGCTACATAGGCTGTTTAAAGCAACCCAATAGAAAAATTAACCACATGAAAAGTATGCTGAGGGGCTATAGCACTGATATAAGCTGCAAGACCTCAGTGCTGGATTTAGACAGCAGAAGTCAAGCACTGTGTGACCACTAGGTACTGCTCTGTGTTTGCTCTGCAGCCTGTGCACTCCAGAGCAGATGTCTGCCTGCTTCACCTTGAAAAACTGTATTTTAAACTGGTTCTGGTACTGCCTGCTGTAAAATTGAGGGCAGTAAAATGGTCTGACTCGATTTTGATCTTGTCATACTGCTAAGTCCAGTACCAGGACTTGCATCTTTGATAATCTACTTGTTCTGTACATCTTGACTAGAGCACTTCACAGCTTTTTCTTTCTCATGTATGATTTTCATTAACCCTTTGCTGAACTCTTGCTCTGGTCCAACAAGGCTGTCTGTCACAACAGACAGACATGAAAGGGCTACTTTACAGCTGGGATTTTAATCACCTCAGCCTCAATTTGTTGCTTTAATTCCTCTGTAAGCATGATAGCTTGAAAACGTATTTTTAAAAGAGACTCAAGATTCTAAAACTCCTGAAATATCGAAGAGAATTAGCTAAATAAACAGACTGATTGTAATCTCAGTAAAACTGCCAGTACTAGTTGGGAACCCAAAAGATGGAACAATCCAGAATAAAAGAACAACTTCAACACTTCAGCTTTTTTTTCTTGTGTCTAAACTGAAGTGATGCTGCAGCCCCACAGAGGAATTTTAACATATCTCTGTGCCTATCAGATCCCTCCTGCAGCACCAGAGGAACAGTTTTGACACCTAATTTAATTGAACAAACAGTTCAATAAGATCTGCAATTGGTTTGAAGTAATTTTGGATTAAACCGCAGGTCGATAACATTTTATAGCTTACTGTGATTTTGGGACATATGAAAGCTTATAGGAGAGCTTTTCTACTTGTCTGAATTTCCTCATCTCTATTCTCCATATGTGATTAAGAATTTAACTGGATTTACAACTATTTGCAGAGGTCCCAGAAAACACAGTACTGATCCACCACTGATCTTCCAGAGTCAGCAATAGTTTAAATGGCAGCTGGACCCTGGGGTTGAATTTGGGTGTCCCAAGCCCACTCTGAATCAGCTTTGACCTCAGTCTTAAGGAGTCCAAGTCCGTTTGTGTTTAGCACCCCCCTGTACCTCCACTGCCTCTATCCTGATTGCACAGAAATTTCTGTTGTTCATTTTTGGTGGTCATTTTAACTCTCTTTTCCTTCCACAGGAGTCAGACAAGCCTCAGCCTTTGTTACATGGGTGAAAAGAAGAACAGGACCCAGCACTGTTTTAATCAACTCTACTGATCAGGCTGAAGCCCTCATAAAAGCTGATGATTTGGCAGTGATCAGCTTCTTTAGGGTAATTCACTGGAAAGCTTAAAATTCTGGTTTCTCTTCCAACTTTGGGGTATACTACTTGCTCTCACCATTCAAAAGACCCAGAATTCACCTGAAAAACCCAGGCCCTCAGTTTTCTATACATTTTAAAAAAAATTTCATTGTTTCTATCTACTCTTTCTCACTTCTAGATAAGCATCCCAGGCAGAGATAAGAAAACCTCACACCCCACACCACATTTCCTTAATCAGTACCCAGGCACAGAGACCCTGAGAACAGATTCTGAGAGCATGATGATGCTACAGCGGTGTTTGCACAGCCCTGGCTGATCACAGCAGACTTTCCTGTATCCTCAGAGAAAGGGCTTCTGCCAAACCATCCCATATTTGGTGGCTGGTGGGAAGAGGGCAGAACTATTGAACTTCATTCTTTGCTACAGAGAGACTTAACCCATTCCTAGTGTGAGTTACACTGCTACCGGAATCTGCAAATGAAAAAGGTTGTGATTGCTGCCCAGAGTTGCTACCTATCACTGCATTTCTGTTCAAACACAGTGTAAAATCATAGACATGATTATTTGGAGGCTGTTCTGGTGAAGGAATGTTCCCTTCCTGCCAATGTCCATTGGAAAAAAAAAAAAGCAGTAGATATTGTCTAATATACTGCAGTGCTTTTTCTTCATATTTCCAGCTGATGATTTAAACAACTTCAGTGAAAATCAGGGTCAGAGCACAGTTCCATGAATATCATGCTAACTGTGGTCTTTAGCTCCTGTCAGCTGCCAAATCTGCATGGATAGGAAGTCATAAAATACCACCACTGTCTATAATCCAACACATGTGGCCCTTTCTCAAGCAAATTCTGCCAGTTCCCAGAGCAGAATAAGATTTGTTAGAGTTTGGGGCTGAATGCTTGTGAACAATAGTCAATAGGCATGCTGTCAGAAGTCAGTAAAACGGGAAGAGTTTTTTCCTGTTTTTTCAATGTGTCCTTGAAATTTTTAATATCTGAAACATTCAATCAAGGATTTTCTCTGTCTAAAGAGACTTTTATTCTGGTATCTCTCTGCCCAGTTGAAAGCACGGTGTCTGGGCTCATACCTGAACTGATAATGTCCCAAATGTGCTGGCTGCAGTAGATAGTCCAAGTCTAATGGCTATGGAAAACAGGATTCATTAGCAAAACACCCCATAGTAAAAAAGCTGGTGAACACAGACAGCATAATAGGACAAACTGTGAAAATGCTCAGAGTGCCCAGAATTTTGCTTTGCAGCAATCTGCTCGCAGGCGTTTAGGAAGGAAGGCAGCTTTTCTGTGCTGGGCCAGATTGAGAGGCCCTTGCTATCACAGTGATGCCAGAGTTCCCTGAACCACACTGATGGCAGATATTGCCTGCAGATGCGTTTGTCAGGACACTGATTTCACTCGGGGGCTGAAATGACAATCGATGAGCATGAGCTAGGGCATGTCAGAATTCTAGTGGGTGGAAGCCAACAAAACAGCGTTCAAGGAAATAAAGAGCTGTATTTGGCCTTCTATTAGTCACAGATTGCTCACAAATGTGAGTGCCAGGATGTGTTGGAAGGTCTCAGCATATAAATTACTATTCATCTAGCATGAAATAATTGTCTGATTAAATCAAATCTGGAAGTGCTGCTGCCTTTCATCATGCTTATTTACTATTAGTTTGAGGGTGGACAGCACAGTGACTATTTGACAGATGTAGAAGTCAAGGTCCCTGCCTTGAAGAGCACTCAGTCAAAGCCCCAAACACACCAGTCAGGTCCTCTTGCAAGCAGAGAGCCCTCCTCTCTAATCTGTCACATCCTGCTGGCTGTGCAGACACTGTGGAAGGGGAGCAGCTGGTGGCACAATCCCTCCCCATTGGCAGAAGGGGAGTGCAGGGAAGGTGAGATTAGGGCAGGAAGGACATAGGGGACCACCCACTGTCCCTACTCACCCACGTCAGGCGACACCAGCTGGAAAGATGAACACACTGGCCATGTCACAGCACTTCCAGGATCTCCCCTGTGGTGAAGAACTCCCCTTGGAGCTAATCATGGCAAGCTATACCCACTTCACAATTACACTCTCTACCTCACAAGCCTTTAGGGGGCTGCCTCTCCTGTTGCTCTTACTCCTGTGCATCTTAGCAGGATGCAGGACACAGTCGTAATAAATACTCTTTCTGGGACTAGGAACTTCACAACGACAGTGTGGAAGTTTTCTGTGAGGCTGCAAGAGATGTGCCAGAGATGCCTTTTGGGATGACAGCCAGTGAGGATGTCTGTGCTGACTACGGCATCCAGAAGAACACTCTTGTGGTGTTTAAGAAGGTAGGAGTACAAAAGCCAAGCTGTGCTGTGGCAGTGGAAGTTTTGGGCCATGAAAAGGCAGTTTGGGAGTTTTTCAGGTTAAATAATTTCTAGTTGAAATTCAAAGAGCTCAACACAAAAAAATAATGCATTTACAGACAAGAGAGACAAGTGGGAGGCAAAATGAGCAACCTTTGGACAACTGATATTTTCAATCTGGCTGCCTACATTCAGGCTCTTAATTTATGCCTAAGGATCTAGATGTAATAGCTTTACTTTCCAACCTTCATTATAATCAACATGTGCTGCCAGGTTCAGTGAGATTTGCAGACATTCATCTCTTTTCCTATGTGTTGTTTTTGACCAGGAATCTTCTTTTCTTCCACTCCACAATAGGAGAAGTGGCCAACAGTAAAAACAGAACTACACAGAGTAGCACCAATATTTAGTCTAGGAAGTAGTCAGACCCAGAAATTCCTGAGAGAGTGTATGTCACAGATAGTGCATATAGATGTAGAAAAGATCTTTCAGTACATTAAGATTACTGAACAAATTAAAACTGTCAGATGCACCTTGCATTTTAGCTATAATCTCATTCTGTAATCCAGCTGTGACATTTATTTCACAAGTTATGGAATTTCAGTTGTTAAGGATCATAAAACTCTTACCTTTAAATACTGTCATTTTGCAACTTTAGTTAATAAGGCCAACAACCTCACAAACTTCACAATTTGTCCAGGGAAAACCTGTGCATAAGGAAGTGCTTGAAGATGGCAGACAGAACAAACTGGGTCTAACAAGGCTAATCAAAACCTTCACTTTGGATTTGGTCACTGAATATAATATTGAGGTATGTATTTCCCTGCATTAGCAAAAGCCACAGGAGAAAGACAGGAACCCATGCAGAAAGAGACCTAGGGAGCTCTTCTGCTCCTTAGTGACTGAGAATTTAGTTTGTTTGACAAGGCCAGCCCTAAACACATCTGGAAACACCAGCAGAACCCAACACTCAGCTTTTGGTCTAACGCAGACAAAACGATGCTTCTCTCTGGCAAGATGTTGTTTCTTAGAGGAGAGGAGGAGTGGCTGGTTGAACAATGAACTCTGAGCATGCAAACACCTTCCCTCCTGTGGAGCAAACACAAAGACCTGGGCTGCCTCTGCAGTAACCAAGTGGGGTGGGAAGTTGGAAGGTCCTGGGTCCAACCATTCCACTCCAATGCAGCAACCAGGGGCTCTGGCCAAGACAAGGACGAAAGAAATCAGCAATAATTGTTGCTAGTGCAGGTAGGGAGGGAAAGACATGGAAATACCTGCTTTCCTGAGGGACACCCCATTTCCTCTGATCATGGGGTGGCATGAGAAAAAGGGCAGCTCTGTGCAGGGAAGGAGACATAAGCTGCTGATGCCACCCAGAAGTGAGAGATGTGCCCAGCCAGGTCTAGTTCCTGCAGCTGGGCCTCCCTGGGTAACACTGCCTTTTACTGTCAGGGTTAGTTCTTCAGGGTGAGTTATGTAGGAGGTCAGACTAGAGGATCACAGTCCCTTCTGACTGTAAAAATCTATGAATAATTATGAGGTTTTTCTTGGAACAGAAAAAAAAAACACACTCAGCAGCTGCTAATTCTTCTCACTTTATCTTCTTTAAAACAATGACAAAAATCCAACGGTTGTGGAAATGATTGGGAATTGAGTCTTAAAAAGTAAAATTTGCAATAACAGAACTGAGTGATACACCGAGCCTCTGATTCACTGTTCTGCTTACAAAGACTGGAACAGATGTTGAGCTTTTTGTTTCCCAGACATCTGTGAAGATTTTTGATGTCCCTGTTGAAAATCACATCCTGCTGTTCACCCCAACGAACTCGGAGACGTTCAGTGCGATTTATGAAAACTACAAGTCTGCTGCTGCGGAATTTAGAGGAAAGGTTTGTAATGCTGAATCCAGCTTTGCAAATATGGATGCCAAAAGATCAGTGGAAAAACACTCACCAACATTAGTACTGGTAAAAGCACTGCTGTCAGTCCATCTTCTAAGTCTACCAAACCACTAGAAACAGTTTCTGTAACTATTATTTGAATTTGTTAAGGACAGTTTGAAAAATAAACCTGACCAGGACACAATTCTTTAAAACATAAAGTTCACACAAAGGAAGACTAATTCCAGCTGCTCACAATTAATATGTTTCTGATTTTACAAATATGACTTTCCAGGAGCAACTTCCAACCAAAGATAGTTTTAGCAAGGTTCCGGCAATTTCTGGTACTACCAGGAAATGCCATGAGGATCTCAGAGTATTGCCTGAACCAGGGGCTGGAACCAGCTACAAAATCTGAGGAATATTGCAAGGTATGTGCACAGCCTTGCTTGCAGCATGTTTTTGCATGTACATGGACAATTATTGGCAGTCATACTCACAGGTATTTCAGTTTTCCATTGTCAGTCACTGGGGTGCTTTTCCTGTTCCAAGTACATGAGACACTGAAGAATGGTAGGTTCATCTTGTAATAAAATATCACATATTGGTAAAGACATATGGATTTCAGGTGTTTCAGCTCTTCTCTCCTGTTAAGATTTATGAAGAAGAGCAATAAGCACTTGGAGGGGTAATTTAGAAATGTCACTAAAAGATGTGATATCAAACCACTGTGAAAGGACAGAGGGAAAAACTCCATTACTTTTGGCTGCTTTAACAGTTATTAACTAGGATGAAGGTATGATGAGGTCCACAGAGCTGCTGGTTTCTGGTCTGAGACCAAAAATGGTTCTACACAATTCCTTGCATTTAAGGTTAGATCCTCCTGCACTGCCAAGCTCCGTTTCTCTAAAATGGCTAATCCAAACCTGGAAGACTCAACCAGATGCATGACTCTCTCTTTATTATCAGATACTCTTTGTTTTGGTGGATACTGATGAAGGAAGGAATGGACGAATTTTTGAGTATTTTCGCATCAGGGACATCGATGTTCCTGCCGTGAGAATCCTAAATCTGACAAGTGATGCAAGGTACAAAATGCCTGCAGATGAGGTGACTGTGGAGAACCTTAGAGAGTTTTGCCAGAGCTACCTAAATGGAAAAGCAAAGGTATGTCCACTACCAATAAGACACCTCTCTACTAAACCAGCTAAAACACTAAAAAATTTGCAAGGTACTTCTTTTTAAATTAGAACAATGTCCTGTTCTGATCATCAGTCTATTAATCTACTGTCACTCTAATGAATTCAACTGTTGTCAGAGCATTCCTCTTTTATTTAACAACTGAGGTGGACTACAAAGTTTTCCAGTCCTTCAGTGTAAAAACTGGATAGAATAATTTCTGGTTCAATATTTTAGCTGATGTCAACTGTTGCATTTTAGTGGTTTAAAAACTTCCTTAAGTCTCAATCTTCCCAATACTATAATGGAGATATTTCACTCCTTTAGTTGGGATAGATGCAAACAATAACCTGTGACAAATGCTGAGGTTACAGAAAAGTCCAGTAAATACAGAATTGACAGTTTCAGAGTGGAGTTGGATTTGGTATTTGTTTTAAGCTAGTTTAGCAGAGTGAACTTTCCCAGGGGGTCATTCCCAACAGTAAATACAGCATTTGTTGTTATAATGAGGCATCATCACACTCATGTGAAAAATAAATTAAAATGCTTTGCTTATTCAGTGCTCTTCAGGCTGATTTACAGGGCAAAAAGATGAAGTGGTCAGTCTGACAGCAGGCAGAATTTAAGAAACTTGAGTAGTAGATCCTGGTTTCAGTGTTGGAAGGGGGCAGAAAGGCAGAAGAGGTGGGAATGTCGCCTTATCCCCATCAAGATCTGCTTGAGTGGCACAGTCCCACCAGGGACAGAGGCCATGTGTGCCTTTCTGCTGCTGTGACGTGGTGTTAAAGAAGAGAAATTGCCAGCTAATGTGCTGTAAATTGCAGGAGTCACATGGGGACTGTGACTGGTGGTGGAGGCAGAGATTTTAGCAGCAGTGCACACTTTCTTGAGTGTGTTTTACATCACTTTTGAGAGCCCACAGTACATAAGATTTTTAATAGTCTAGCTTCTGAATGTTGGTTAACAAGAATTCAGGACAAGGAATATAAATATGTTCCAAAGGGTAGTTTTCAGATAATCTACTATGGAGTCTGTATTCAACAGAGGGGTGATTAATTCTGACTAATAACTATGCAGGGGTGTGAGACTCTAGCTCCTGCTGATGGGAGAGGAGGTGGTACCACATGGAGGCTGGCTAGGATAAGATATAGAAAATATCACGTAGTAACAGTGCACATCAGGTAATGTTCCATCATTCTCACTTGAACTTAAGCTGGAGTACAGTTTCTCAATTGTCCCTGCACTTTCACAGCAGTATTTCTGTTTCTGCTTAGGTACATCTCTCTAGTGAGGAAATTCCAGAAGACTGGGACAAGATGCCTGTCAAAGTGCTTGTTGGGAAGAATTTCAACAGTATTGTCTTCAATAAGACCAGGACTGTGTTTGTTATGTTTTGTAAGTGTTGTTGTTGAATTCAGATTTTAATCTGCTTTAACATGAGCAATTGGAAGGAAAAAATGAAAGCTCATGCTCATATACCAAACTAACATGCTTATGTAGCAAACTAATTTTTGCACTGTACAGAAGCTGAGCTCAATGAATCTTTGGAAATGTCTGTGGAAAGCACTGAAGAAAAATGTGTGTCATATCTATGGTAACGCTGTGATACCTTTGCTGACTTAGTGTTGCACTGAGCAGCACTGGATCCCTTCAGTAAATATTTGTCAGGGCCATATCAAATCTCAGAGTTGAAAGACAACATGACACACTAGAGCGTCATGTTGTAGGATGGAACATTACAGTGTGTTGTACAGGATGAGTCAGGCTGTCTTCCAAGGGCAGAGGGAGAGTTAAGTGAAATGGTCTGGTTATAATGCTCTAGGATTAAATCCCAGAGGAATTGTGGTTTAGCAAATCATAGCTCCTTTTATCCTCCTCTGTCTGCAAGGGAAGTGGTTTTCCTACATGACTCTTTCCAGCAAGAAACCACTGCCCTATCCTTGTACCAGCCAGCAGGGATTAGTTTGTGCCTTGGTTACATCAGTAAAGCACACATGCAGCATTAAGAGAAATAGAGACAACTAGATGTACTGCCCCAAATTCCAGAAGCTCCTGAAGGCAGTACATTCCTGCCCCCCTCCTCGTTGGCTGCCTCACACAAGTAATTTTTACATTTCAGTGTCATGAACAAACTGAATGATCTAAGCAGGAATTGAACCAAGTCCTCTGGAAAGGAAAGGCTGGTAAATGGGATGTACTCTAGCCAGCAAAGTGCCCCAGAAATTTTAATTCTGTATAAACTGAATATGAGCATTGTTCTCCCAAAGGAAGGACTGCAACTGTGTTTTATGCTGTTTAAGGGGATTCTGGGTTTTCAGCAGTTTGCCTTTCTGCTAACCTGCATCAGTGCAGTGCTCAGAGTCAAAACAGCACCTTACCTCAAACTCCTCCTTTTAGTGTAAATATGGCATGCTTTATGAACACAGTTAAATTTAATATTCAGGAAGTATTTTGTGCTTCAGACAAATATTTCATCACAGGAATGATGCAAGACTTACCTGGGTTGCACTGGTTATCTGGCACACCTCTCCAGCAAAGTTGTCCAAGTGTTGAGTGTTTGTTATAGTCATAAAAGGCTAAAGAGAGCCAAAACAGCACTGCTATCAGAAATGCATTAGTTAATAACTAGTTATCACTACATGAAAACCTGAAAGTCATGAAGGGTGAATAGTTTCAAGCAGAGACTGACCACAACTGAAATCCCAAACCCTGTTAACTTGAAGAGCTAAATAGGTCCCTGTGACTGCACCAGCACATGCTCTCCTGTCAGACTGTATCCTTCTACTTTTATTTTTTAATTTGCAGATGCCCCTTGGTCCCATGACTGCAGAAAACTCCTACCAATCTGGGATAAGCTAGGAGAGCAATACGACAGTCGTGAGGACATAATCATTGCAAAGATAGACATCACAGCAAATGACATCCTGTCTGTTGGATTAGCTCGATATCCCTTCTTCACACTCTTCCCTGCTGGATCAGATTACCAGGTGAGAAGCTGTCACAGGACAGTGTGGAGACACAGCTGCACACCAGGGGAGAGAGGGCGTGTTTGCATGTGCACATGTGCCACAGTGAGAAAGGAGTCCTTTAAGTAAGAAACCTTTGGTCCTTATCTACTCAGCACTGGTTTTTGTGCAGAAGGCTTTACTGTCAAGAACCTGAATTAGAGGAGAAAACCTTCTATTGTCTTCTTCTATGTATGAGGTTGTGGCAAGGGCCCACACATAATTTGCTAACTTGGACTACAAGTCATTAGAACCTCACATTCTGCTGTTTAACAACCTCCATTCTCCCTGTTGGGTTCTAGCAACAGTCTGAGTGAATTTACAGATACCTCCTGATGGCTGCAGTGCCTTTTTACTTTAAACCATGACTAGAGATGTACTGTCACAGAATTACCTATGCTAGTTTTTTCCAGAGCAGGTATGACCATAGTCTCTAAAATGCTGGTACTGCTCTTGCTACAGCCTCTACATTTTCACAAAACTCAAGTCCCAAAACTTTCTTCTATACACTCATGTCAGTAATTTTACACAACCTCAGCTGGGAATAAATATTTGTTGTCAAGACCAATGATTTTTGCAATATGCTACCTAATGAATCAACTATGTTACACAATAATCAGAAAATGTTGCTGAAATAGATGGCAAGGAAAAATACTAAATAGCTACATTTTCCATCTATATAGATTATCTAATTAAAAAGAAAATATCTCTGAAGCAAAAAAAAAAAAATCAAGATACTGTTATAATTAAGATATTACTAAGCTATTCATTTTTCTTCTTAGTACTAAACTTAAATTAAATTCTAAGACATTTGCCCATGTCCTCATTTAATCTTTGAGGGAGAGATTTTCCTCTCAGATGTGCACGCACAGCTTCTAATGAATTGAACTGCAGTCCTGCACACTCACACCCTGTTTAGTCTTCATGCAGCAAAGCAGAAACCCATTAAATGCTCATAATAAATGTGAGTTTGCAAAAAAACACACAAAAAACCCAGCCAAACAAACAAAAAGAATCAATAAAGACTTCCATTAACTATTAAGGGACTGCTTCATACTTAAAAATACCCTGAAATGAAAGAGTATTTGAAATCTCAAGTTTTTCCATCTGATTTTGCTGTTATTTGCAGAATTTTCGGTACAGAGTTAAGTACTTAACCTTAAAATTCTTTTCAGGAGGTGGCCTATGCTGGGGACTATACACTGGAGGCATTTGCTGAATTCTTAGAAGAGCAAAGCAAGACAAAAGCAGAACCAGGAGAGCAGGTAGGTGTTTGAGCCAGACACTGATCTGCTGTGTGATCCAAGGCACACCTGAGGTGGCCACAGCACAGCCACACTCCTGGGCCATGTCAGTGCTTGGGTGGTTCTTACCAGCTCATAGCTGGTTTCAAGCTGACTAGCCTGGCATGACCACACCAGTTGCAGTCACACACCACAGCCTGGCAGGCACAAACCCACTCATATCCTTGTTTCCATCACACAAAAACCTCTTCTCCCACTGCTCCTGTTGTCGCTGAGTCACTGCATCAACAGTCTGGCAGTAAGAACTGCATGGCAGAAAGGAACCTGTACCCTGAGAGGTGTAAGAAACACTTGGTCACGATTTTAGCTGGGAAAAAAAAAGCCCCAGCTAAGTAAGATTCAGCTGCAGCTGGAGTGGTTCAAATATCCATTGCCCACCTCATTCTGCTACATTCACTGCAGCTTCTCTTCTTCATGAAGCAAGGACAGACGATGTCCCTTCTCTCAGCAATCTGGTTTTGATAATTGTCTGATTCCCTGACCCTTTCTTCTCCACTGTAAATCAGACCAGATAAGTGTTTGCTGTCCCAGATCAGCCTGTTATTTAATCACAGGCACTCCACTGCAAAAAGACACACTGTAAGTGAGCGATGTGAACCATCTCCACACAGATAGCTACTAGCAACAGAACAAACCTGACATGTAGATGGAGACACTGTCCACCCACTGTAAGAATCTTGGGCTTATTCTACCCAGACATGAAGTGGAACCACAGGACACCAATATTACTAATGTTCTTTTCAACTAGTAGGGAAGCTGTCCGTGTCTGGAGAAATAATTTCGAGTTTTCAGACTTATCTCCACCAGAGGCTTTGATTTGCTCATACAATCACAGCTCAAATATAAACCAGTGAAAAGGTTTGAAAACCTGAAGAGCACATTTTAGCAGCAGCTGCTCTACTTCTGACCTCATTAATAAGACCTCAAGTTCCTTGATTGAAAAGATGAAAATCTGTGCTTCAACCAATCTTAAAAATTTTTTGGAGAGAATTACTTGAACAGTTGTCTTTGTGAATATTAGTAATAAGCAGCTTTTCTCTTGCATTTCGTTTTTTAAAAGGATCCTTTGGGAGGAATCAAAGAAGATCTCAGCCAAAAAGAGACTGCAATAACAGAGAAAGAACTTTAATAGTACAGAGAAAGAGAAAAATTCTGAGGATTGTGGGGAATCCTTCCTGGAAGGAGCCCACTGGAAGAATGAATCATCTGAAGTGAACACGGAGCTGAATTAAAAAATAAAAATAAAGAATTCAATATCAATGGCTCATTATGTGTGACTTCTGAGTCCAATTTAACTCCTAGATTTACGGGGATCGGTTGTCACAGGTTCTTAAATACCTTTATTATCAGTAAAACTGCCCTCATTTAGAAAGGTGTATGTGCCATGGAAAACAGATCAAGATATAAAGCTATTCTTTCTGAACAAGATCTGCAACAGGATGACAACCAATTTCTCTCCAATTTACCCTAAGACAGCCCTATTGTTTTCAGGAGGAATTAACTGCTCCCACAAGGATGGGTCTAACACTGCAAAGAGCATTTTTACAGTGATCTTCAAAAGAAGTAATTGAAGCTGGGGGCTGTGCCCAAAGGGGCAGCAAGGCACAGTTCATGATTTTTTTATTATCAGGCAGTAACAAATGCAGAAATATAGGAGATATAATTTAATTCCAGTAAGGAAAATACCATATCTAAGACACAAAGACACAAGTCTGACTCACATTTTACTTACATGAGGTCCCTTAACCACCACTCACATGTTATAAAAGTGAAACAGGCGAAACTGCTGGAAAACACTAATTTCTTCCTGCAAGGACCAGAGAAAGCAGAAATAATTCTGAAGATTTAAAACCTTTTCTTACACAATTAGTGAAGGGAGAACACTTATTAAAATTTCATTTCACAAACAGGTGCCCAAAGTCTTTGTCCTCAACCTATTAATGCAAAGCTACTTTCTTACATAAGCAGAGGAAAAATATTATGAAAATTTGGAGAAAGAAGGAATGCCTATTTGAATGGAAGAAGGCTTAACTACTGAAGTGAGAGAAACCACGGAGAGCTCCTAACTCACCTGACACACAAGTCAGCAAGAGAGGGACAGTTTTAAAGTACTGGACCTCTTACATTTTACAACTCTTTGCTAAAAAGTGCAGTTCATGAATGGTGGCTTGTTTGCTGTCCAGGTTGCGACATGTAATTAAATAAGCACACTCAGAAATTTAAATGACTCCTCTACTTCACAGTTCTTGCAAATAAATTGGACTCAACATGCAACACATCTCATAAGGCTGTCAGTGGATCTTCACTGATGAGGACTTAACAAGAAGACACAGAAAATAAAACAGTTTATGTTGATTCCTCATGGGCACAGTTTAATCTCTACTGGGGCTGACATTCATTGGGACTACAATTAAATCCACTTAATGGAAGAGAATTCTTGTGGAAGGGCATTCAGTGCTAGATCACCATTCCTGATATGGTCCACCTGGGTTTTGTAGGTCTTGGACCTGGTTTCTTGAGCAGTTTATTTAAGACTATCTGAAACTGCCAAAGACCACAGGTCAGATGGGCTCCACACATTCAGGTTTCTGCCAGCTGTAGCTCCCTCCTCATCCAGAAACATCACCTACAAGGGAGAAAGGACTTAAAGCTACATAGGGAAACTGTAGCTTGGAAGTCTGCATGGTAGAGCTGAGAGATGCAGCCCACTTTCCCTTCTAATTGTGAACCACAGCCAAGTTATTATTGTTTGAAGCAATTCTCTGAAGATGACAAGTAAAGTTTAATTCTCATGTGTTCTGGGACAGAATAAATTTTTGATAGAACTGCAATATGGTACAAATCAAATCAAAGTGGCACTTAGTGGCAGGAGGAAAAGATGGGATGGTTTTGAAGAGTTCAAGCTGTTTGCTGTGGGTGTAAACTCCCAGTGCAGCTGGACAGTGTGGGATGCAGTTAACAATAAGTGTTTCTCAGCACCCTTGTTAAGAGGACTTCATTTATGAATATCACACAGAAAAAATAACTTGCCAATTTGATCACTGAATTATACCCAAACTGCCCCTCTTATGCACACTGAAGAAGACAATTCTCCATTGGACATCAAACATGAGTTCTCTGGGACACTGCCAGCAGGACCTTGGACAAAGTAAACCTGATCACTGCTGTATATTGGGCTTCATTTGACTTTCATTTAACATTGGGCATTCATTAACAAACAGAAGCCCTCATTTGATATCTTGGGAGATCAGATTAGGAAGTGAATGAGATGAACTGAATCCCAAAGAGAAGGAAGTGTCAGTGCTCTTTCCCTTTGCTGCTTACAACATGATGAAATCTGAATGGCAAGCAGTGCTACCAATATATTTTGAACAACTATTAAACACTGAAGCTATAATCTTTTAATTAGTTTCCTTACAAAAAACCAGAGCAAGCAATGTTCAGCACCACTCTGTATCTGGCAGATGAGTTTACCATTCGAGATAATGAAAAAAAATTAATTTTCACTGCATCTACCCACTGTACACAAGGCTCAATCCTGAAACTGCTATCTATCCCATTATAAGGTGCAAGATTACATTCTAATGAAAACATGTGCCATCTCAGCAAATGATGTTCTCATTTCTATTCCAGCCACTCTCAGATGTTGTGTCAAGACAAGGGGCCAAGTGCAGACTCACATGCCATGCCATGGCACATGGCAGGAGTTGCAAACCTACTTTATAAATCATCTGGTAAAAGCCTGATGGAAAAACAAGTCTTCCTTGGTTGAAAGTTTGCCTTGTTGCTGGTTGGGTTCCTCCAGCCCTCAACAGTGGCAGGATGTGCCCTCAGTGCCAGGCAAGTGACCTGGCACATTGTCTTCTTTTCCCTCTGACCCGAGTCAGCTACAGAATATTTTCCTGGAACAAAAACTTTAAAGTGTCACAAGGAGAATTGAGCCCTAAATGTCTGAAATGCAATCACATTCTCAGGCTTTGATAAGTCAAACACTACTTTTATTTTAGTCTAAAAATGAAGTGAATCTGTTTGGTTTTAAAGAGTACATAATTATAACCATGCTCAGACATTCTAAGCATTACTTAAAACCATAAAAAATATTTTAAAAATCAATATTTATTAGTCCAACTTGTTCCTGTAAATGAATACCCATATTTTGAATGCCACAATCTCATGAAAAATCTCCTCATGCACATAAATAAGCCCTATCAATTAAGACTGACAGGACTAAGTAAAGAGATATCAATGTGTACCAACAGTGGAGCTGCTTTAATCTGCAGTGTCAAGATGATTTGGTTATCAATATGGAACAGCAAAAGCAACACTCCCAGCTAGGGATCATATTTATAAAAAGCCCATCAAAGGAAAAAAAAAAAAAAGCAAAGAATAGCAAAGTTTAATACAAAAAGGAGATAAACATGAACCATCCCCAAAAATGCTGACTTTTTTTTTTTTTTTTAAATAAATGCTAGCCTATTCTGCCCTAAAATACAAGCTTTTAGCACCTTGGAGATAGCAATTCATCTCATTAAGTTCTTTTCTTAAATGCTGGGGAAGAAAAATGATGTTCAGAATTGACAATCATTCATAAATGCTCAGATGAACAGGAAAAATAATCAATCCTAAAGAGAACTACAATAATTCTTTTTCTCTTTACAACCGTTTAATCCTAGCTTAATTTCCCGGGAATTACTTTCAGCTGGCATTAGCATAATAACAGAAACAGAGCCACAATATATCAAAAGAGATTGATACAAACACAAAAGCATTGACTGTTCAAAAAAAAAAACCCAAAAAAAAACCAAGAAAACAACTCTGATGTGTAGCAGTGGCATAATTGGTATAACCCAAAAGGTCTGGCTTGGAGGTCAGAAGTTTGGTGTTGGTAGAAATACATACATGTACCATATGCTTGAAGACTGATGGGATGGTCAGGGAGAAGTGTCTAAATCCAGTATTTCAGGCATTTCATTCAGAGAATTGGGTTGTCAAATTTCACATTAGGAAGTCTGACTTTCTTGTCTTCCCTTTCTCTCCTACTCCTGATAGTGAAGAGAGTTTGTTCCAAGGCCACAATGATTTGATGCAGATACATTGACAAAAAGAAACAACTTACACTCTAATAAAAACACGCTCTTGTGTTAACTCAAGTGGAGTTTGACCAGTGGAAATTACTCAGCTCAGATGTTTGAAAAACGTGCTTGGTGTAATCAGCTGAGACAGGGGGAAGGAGGGTATGTTAATTTAAAAACTTTTATTTTGGAAAAGCTTTAAACCCATTTGCCCCCTGGCCTTGTGGCCATGCTATTGTGTCTCTGCATCAGGAGTCACACATAGGCTGTCAGCTCAAGCTCGAGTCCAGTTCAGAGGGTCTCCAGGTGGATTTCACTGCTTGTGTTTCATACTCAATTCACTACATTCAGGAACAAATACAACTGAAAGGCCAAGCCAAATGCAGCTCTTTTGCTGGTTTCAGAGGAGGCAGCTGTTTCTCATGGTGCAGTCCTGGACCAGCAGGATCACACATTGCCCAGTGTGTGTGCTCGGTTTCCAGTTTCTGAGAATCACCTTGGAAATATTTGCTTTATGTAAAACATTGACAGAACTAAAGCCGTGCCAGCCCTGCTGCCCACCCCTCTCTCTGCTGAACAAACATTCAGTGGCTGCCTTTTCACCAGAGCCTGCCAGTTACCCTGCACCAGGTCCTGGGTTGGGAATTTTCTGCACAGGGACTCTCACTGTTCACACGCTGGGTCTGCATCAGCACTTACGCTTACACAGCTAAAGAATCGTTTTCTCCCCCTCCCCAGCAAGAAACACCATGTTGTATTTAATTTCAGCTCTCCTGGGCAAATGCATGTTACCAACAACTGCTACCAGCGAGTAATAAATATTAATAAAGCATTTAATTGGAATCTTATTGAAAAGCACTTTCACCAGCACAGCTGGCAAGAGCCCCCTTGAACAAATGCAGCCTGCTTGCCAAGTACAACATAGGTAGAGTCATAATTAGTCAGCAGAGGCTAAGGACCATACACGTGTGAACATCACTGCTGAAGCCTGAGCTTTTCAAAACATGTATTTAATAGACTGAAATAATGTGGGAATTCTGCCTAAATTTTCCTTCTCTGGTCTTGTCATTTTTGAGCAGATGTTGGTTATTTCTTAGCACGCACACTACATACTAACAGCATCCTGAGCTAAACCAGCATCCTGG